AACAAGTTATCCAGCAGGCAGCACTGGTCCTACACATTTTGGTGGACTTTCGGACTTACATTATAATAGCTATTCATTTCATTTCCGAATCTGTTTTATTTTACCCCTCATTTTTTGATTTTGTGAAAATGTTTGGAAATATCATCTGTTTAATTCTTTGCTTTGCCTACACCGAAGCTCGCATTTGGGCTTGGATGCTTAACATGCCCCATAACCCGACCAAAGAGGGCGCTAAAGCACTTATGGACCCCGCTCCAAAACCAACCACGGTAAGAGATTTTTTTATTCGGCTGCAATTTTGAGGATTATAATTTCAAATCTTGCTATTGAAATTTACTGAAATGTGCTTATTTTTTTTTCTTTTAGGCTCAGTGTGACCACGACAGGGCGTGTGGTCGTGGATTTACATGTGATAGACATTTTGGTTTGTGTGTGCCACTGCGAGGAGAGGGGCAGTACTGTAGGAGAGATACCCAGTGTGTACGAGGCCTCAGCTGCATGTTTGGGAAATGCCATCGCAGTATTCCCAACGGACAAGAAGGTAAGGAAAAAGTTTCTATTTTGATCATTTCAAATAGTAAATCCCAAAGCACTAGAACATACTGGTTCTGAGTACTGATCTAAGCTGCAAAATCTGGGTCACATATGGGTCAAAAGCAGAGAACAACTTCCTTACAGGGACAATACTAATCAAAACAGAATGAGATTGTCACTAAATCAAGATAAATCAAACCAGGCCTTAACCAGGATTAATATGAAGCCAAAATCTGGACTAAGCTAAGGGGCGTACTTACCTTGTACAAACAGAGTGTACTAGTAATAGAAAAAAAATGAAATGAAATTGTTCAAATCAAGATAAATCAAACCAGGACTTCAGCAGGACTAAAATGAGGCCAAAAACAGGGCTAAGCAAAGAGACGTTTTTACCATGTACAAAATCAAGTCCACAATCAAATTTAAGACAGGCCATAGTTTTAAAGGATTAAATTAGGACCAAAACAAGATATGAAATATGAAAATTATCACAACAAGATTCAACTCTTATCCAGTACAAAACCAATTTAAACAAAGAGTTGGGGTTAGCTGTTTTGAATTATCTAATTGACCTTCCAGCTTCCTCATGACAAGACAAATTTGCACATTGCATAACATTAACCAGCTCCATGTGCTTTAGTGTAAAAAAAAGAAAGACAGTTTTAAAATGTCAAAACCAAAAAGAATAACAGACAAAAATAAATAAATATTCATTAGCTTCTTGTACAATCAACTTTTGGGGACTTTTCACCATTAAAAAGATATATATTTTTATTGTTAATTGCTATAGTAATGGTCCTAATTTTACATCATTCTGGTACCTGGATACCACAGAAAATCATCGTTTACAGTATCTTAACTCTTAAATAATTGACTACCAAATGCATCATTATCTGACTTTTGTACTGTGTCCTCAATAGCAGTAAAGTAAGAAAATTAAAGTAGTAATGGTAGGTGTTAAAGCCAAAAAATGAACAAAACCTAGTACCACACCAACACAATCTATCCATGGGTCCAGAATGATGAAAAACTTGCAGTTGCCATAGCGATTAACAACTTAAAATGAAATATATTAATGGGGACTATTCCTCTAACTGTTGCATATAACAGGAAGCTTAAACCGATGAATCCTCAGATAATCACTGATGGTATAAGGTATTCTGTCTTCTCTAATTTAACTCATATTTGGACTGTGTCGGCAGGTGCCAGGTGCAAAGTGGACAGGGACTGCGGAGCGTCCATGTGCTGTGCTCGCCATCACGGTGAGCTGGTCTGTAAAAGGCGTCTGATTCGGGGGGAGAGCTGCTACGTCCCAGATGGAGGTTTAGCTTTTAGCATCAACCAGATCTGCCCCTGTGATGAAGGACTGCTCTGCCGCGAAAACACCTCACCCTACTGGAGAGAGTAAGTACTGCAGTACTTAGACTTGGTCCGGGTTTAAGTCCACTTTGAGTCCTGATGTAGACTGGGTTTAGTTTTGTTCTTGTCCTCATTTAGTCCTGGTTTAGGTCACGTAGAGTGCTAGATTAGTCCCAGATTAGAACCTGTTTAGATTTGTGATTGCGAAGTGTGAACGCATCCTTAGTATACTTATAAATTGCAAAAAATAGATCATAATGAAGTTCAAATAAAAACTTAATTGAAGTGTATCAAAATACAAAATATACAGATTTACATATTTGCACATGTACATATTTATATAAGTAGAATAAAATATAAATATAGAATACAGAATAATCAAGGCTTTATGCAAGAGGTGATGAAACAAGATGACTGCTACTACTACAGTAAATTAATTACTGACTAAATTATGTATTCATTGTTGATTTTGATTTGTCATGATTATATTGTGGCCTCTTGTAACATTTTCCTTCTTTTTCAGGAGGGAGTTTATCTACCAGCTGGAACGGCCAACTTGGTCCTGTCAAATTCCTCGACCTTAACGTGTTACTGTGAAAGTTATTTATGTGTAAATATGTATCTACTGTATATAAACAAATGTATTTTTCTATTTTTTTTTTTTACAATAGCACTACTTCTATAGCTAAGTGTGTGAGTGTGTTTTACACTGTACTTGCTTGCATTTATAGTTCTTTGGTTATGTCTTCTATTCTGTTTAAAAAATAAAATAACATGTCCAAAGAGACCTGGCGTTTTCTTGTATGTTTCTTGTGCACGTGCTGTTTTAGTAATGAGATGCTAAAAATTATATTTCAAAATCACACCAAAGACAAAAATATGTAAAAACCTAAAACATTATGTATACGTTTTTTTTTTATTTCAAATGCAGTGTGATCTATATCTATATAATATAACATAACATAGCTTAAAGGCCTGTATTTTTGTATGATACTGGTTCATAAAAGTAAAATTTAAATTGTACTTGCAAGTTAAGATAGTGGTTCTTGTTGATTACGCCATTCAACATATTACTAAAATACAAAGAGTTACTGAGTATTGTACTGAGTTAGGGAAGTTATCAGAATTGCAATTTGAAGACTGCAGTTTTTGACTTACTGTAATTTCCTCCACAAATAACATTTAGATCTGTACAAGTCTAGTATTATTTGTCCTTTCATATTTCAGTCTTTTTGTCAACTTTTCTGGACGCGTTTAAAATGTGAATTTTGAACAGAATCATAATAATAAAACATAAATTGCTAATCTAATCTCAATCACAATGCTCATAAAAAAAATACATATAAATTTTTTTTTTTTTCCCAAAAGCTGTAGCCCTACTTCGAGAACTTTGAAAACATATTATAAACAGGTCATCACAGGTTGAGATTAACAGACTGTGAAATCGTCCCATTTGACTAAACCTTTGCCATTAATTGCTTGGTTAAATGTTTTGTTCTTGAGGGTCTCATGCTGCTTCTCATGAATATGCTAATGGACTCTAAGTCACCAGCCTTAACCATTGTCCATTGTCCACACTGACCACATTTCTTGGACTTGCAGGCGAACAGAATCTGCAACACTACCTCTCCCCTGACCCGACCGCAGATCTATATCTTCGCTGGATTCCCTCTTCGCTACGTAGTTGTGATGCTAATTGTCTGCAGTCTGCTTCTTAGCACGCAGGCTAAGGCACATTAGTGAGTAACTTCTCTGGTATTGCCTTTCACTGGTCTCTTATCACGAGCTGGAACTGGACTTCGGGAAAGAGAAAACATCAAAATATTTTTGACATTTCCAGCAAATTGTGCATGTGCTCCTACTGATGATAAAAAAATTAAAGTCAGGATTTCAGTTGTTGAATCTGGCAACCCAAGGCAAGGAGTTTTTCGATCTTTCTGATTGGTTTATGAGATTAAGAACCAAAACAAAAAGAAAAATTTAAAGCTTTTTTATAATCAAACCTTTGAATCCATGCATCATTAAATTGTTTTCAGTTAAATTAATATTTCATTTGAGCATGTTCACTCTCAGTCCAGTCACTCTTAGGACACAGAGATAGAAATCTCAATTTGGACATTTCCTACATAGTTGTGATTAGGTAGTTTTGCACAATAATCAGTTGGAGTAAATACTGAAAGGTGCACTGTCACCTGCTTGTTTCTATAATTCCACAGTATGACATTAAACAGCTCTACATTTATTCAATTAAAAGTGGTTTTATAGCACAAAAACATCTAGCCTGCATTCTGACTGTGAGCGGAGTTGCCTCTGACCTGTAACTTGATCTGGATTGGTCTCCATGAAGATAGCAAGATTTAACACCACATGAAACATTCCAGATGAAGAAATAACATCTCCACAAAGAAAAGCATTTGATGGACCCCCCACCAGAAAAGTTACACAATGCACCTTTAAGGTAACTTTATATCTGTAATTTAGAGCACAGACCTATCACGAACAGTAGTAACTAGTGTGGGCTGTCTTATCAGCCAAACATTGCACTATGAAGCTATCCATACATGTGGTTTGTGCTGTTTAGCCTGTTAAATAGTGTCAAGTTCGGAAATGGGACAATGAAACCACACAAGCCTGAAATAGTTCAAACTATTTCACGAACAGAACAGCTATAAAAGCCAGTTAATGTTATCTTAGTATATATTGTAATACTTTGTCTATATTATTGTATGGTTGTCATTTTTATTCTCAATTTAAATGCAGAATTCCTGAAAAGGTGATTCAAACTTGTTGAGCTTAATCCCATGAGGTTGTGGTAATTTAAAAGTGAATGTCTGACCAGCACAGAACGCTTTTGTGAGCAGTTCCACAATGGACGAACCAATCCTCCCAAAGAGGAAAGTGGTGAAAGGAGAAAGTAATACAAGTCAATTGGTTTTACATAGGACAGTATAAAGCTCCTCTTCTAGTCTTTTTGGTGTGAGCCACTGGAGTTAGCGTTGCATTATTCCGTCATGAAGAAGCTTTGACATCAAACCAAACCAGTCTAAACTTTTTAACAGGTGAGTGCTTAGAACTACATCATATTTTTGGTGTTTCATTGTATTTATTATTGTCTTATTGCTGCGTTTTGCTTTTTCTTGCAGCTTCACAATGGCAGTTGTCATTGGACTTTTAATGCTGTTGCCAGCTGCACTGACATGTCCACCCCAAAAAGCAGGTAAATAAAAACAAAAATACTAGTGTAAATCTTTTGCTATGAACAAATATCTGTATTATTTGGTGGAGGTAGGGATGCACTAATCCAGCTTTTTCAGTTCCTCTACTGATTATGATTCTATAGCTTTAAGTATCTGATGAAAACAAATATCAACCAATACCAGTGCAGAGACTGAAATTAGCTTTTATTTCCTTTAAAAACTCATAATAAAATACTAAAAACACGACATAATGGATCCAAATGTGTTATAGAGCTGATTGTGAGACTTTTTGGGCCATCTATGATCAGTAAATAGTCTCTTTTATACATCCAACCAGGACATCGACAGATTGATACTTGGAAGCCAATACCTGATTCAGTAATTTTTCAGGATCATTGCTGATATAGTAATGTTTTAATAATGTTTTTAGCAGTGAGAAATGTTAAGATGCTGAATGCTAAAATATTTCACAACCACAACTAGGGATGTGCAAAAATATCAAAATATCAATATATCGTATTGTTTAATGTGATGATACAGTATTGATATCATGGGCTGCTGTACTGATATATCGCCAAGAGTATTTTTTGGTATATTTTACTAAAGCATTTTGTTACAGCGCTACAGTTTTGTTGCTTGTCCAGAGGAAGAAAACTCGTTTATGCGACACATTTGACAGTTTCACTGTTTTGATGATTTAAATGTTTGTGTTTCATTTGAACTTTGCACAAGAAGTGGTTTAATAAAGACTTTTAGTATCACAGCCATGATATAGATGATTTAGCCTTTATTTTTTTTATTGAACCCTGTCAATCATTTTGAAATATATCATATCGAGTCGAAAGCTGACTGTATCGACATATGTATTGTATCGTGGCCAATGTATTAAAGTATGTATTGTATCGGCAACTTACTTAATGATACTCGGCCCTAATCACAACAGAGACTATGGTTAACAAAAAACAAATATATTTTTAAACTTCAGATGCATGGTATAGATTTTTTTAAGGCTTATATTTTACATTTTCCTCCTGTTACAATTGAGAAAAATCATGAAAATCAGTTTTAAAGCTTGAAATCTTTGTGCTATGTATCTAACTATTTTCTTCTTTCTGTTACAGACTATGTGATGGTGTCCTGTTTCCCCAACACTATTATTGCCAATGTGCCTGAGTGTCCGTATGGGTGGGAGATCGAGCAGTTGTCTTTGGGAGGCGTGTGTTATTCGGGCGTCCACAGTCCGGGGTACTATCGCTTCATCATCCCAGACCTGACGCCAAGGAACCACTCGTACTGTGCCACCCAGTCAGAGGTGAGAGACTAGAATTTAAAAATGAAATACGACCAAAAAGATAAGAAAATAGTAAGTTTAGTAAAGTTAAAGGTGCACTGTGTAACCTTTCTTCTATCACCTGCTTATCTCCATGGAAATGTTATTGCTTTATCTGGAATGTCCCGGTGGCGTTAAACATATCCATCTCACATTTACTCACTAACATGGGTTTTTGTTGACCTAAAAACATGCATTCTTGCTGTGAGTGGGCTCTCCTCTCCACAGATCTAACATGTAGCTGAGCTCTTTGACAGCTGTTTTCGTAGTGATAAATAATTGTAATACCTTACTGTGGAACATTCCAGATAGTATCTCCAGGGAGAGAAGCAGGTGCTGGACCCCCCACCAGAAAAGTTACACAGTGCACCTTTAATTTGGCATAGAACATGAAGTATATGAACAGCTTCACATGTTTAAAGTTAAAGTTTTGAAATAATAGTGGAAAACAGTTACAATGCACACTAAAATTTATAAGAACTTTTAAGTACACTTTTTGAACACAATCCATACTATTGTAATTTACTTTTGATGCACTTTGATCGAGGGCCAGCTCCAGCTATGCACATGAACCCACTCAACCCACCCAATCAAACCTATGACCTAATACAGGCTCTAAACCATTTTGTTTTCCAATATAAGATTCACATATACAAAAACATTTTCCCACGTATAGTCAAACTGAGCAGCCAAGAACTGGTGGTAATTGTATTTGATTTAATCCTGCTTATGTAATTGGTAAGATTAACCCAAAACATGCACAATAGATGAAATCCCCCAGCTAAGCCAAGCTCAAGATCTGAAGAGGGGTCCCTCACTGCTGCAGACAGACTGCCCCAGCGGGACTGTAGGATGGTTCAAACGCAGAGGACAAATTGCTCTACAGGGACAATAAATACCTCAAATGGCTCATATTACACCATTTTCTGATCTGATTTCTATGTCATGTTCATCACAAACATACCTAGAGTTGTGTTTTGTTTCTTTTACACATGTTTAACACATAAACCCTGCATATTTAACTTTGTGATGTCATGTGGCTCCGCTGTGTTTTTAAAATCCATTTACCTTCACTAGAATTATTTGGATAATTTCATCCCTGAAACTGCCTATCTCGGTAAAACTGTAAAAGGTAGCTGTTAAATTGAACACTATTGCTTCATGACATCACAAGGTGGAACAATGCATTTTGAGCTTTGGGGATGTAGACAGACTAATGATAAAGTGTTACTCAAACAAAACACAACTCCAGATATGTTTTTGAGGATGTAAGAGTATTCTAACATGGCCTTTAAGAGTTATAGAAGAAATATATTCAGATTCCTATTCAAACTTGTATAAACCTGATTTTACGTCTACTATTGGAATACTTGTGTGTTACTTTGAATGTTGTGGTTGTCTCTTGTAGTACATTCCTGGCAAAGACCCCAAGTACATCTTCTATAACTCCATTGTGTCCAATGATACAACTCTCACAGTGAGAAACCAGCCTGTAAACTACACGTTCAGCTGTATGTATCGAGCTGCCTACCTAGTGAATAACGCTGTGTTTAGTCAGAGGTAAGCATCGTCCCAGCACACAGGACATTCACTTTTCTGTGTAAAACATTTCAAGTCTAACACAATGATTTGTAGTGTTTTTACTAAACCCTCTGCTTTTTCCAGAGTGGCTACAGTTTATGTGAACAACGGCAGTATAGGCACTTTTAGGTCACAGTTATCTCTGAATGTGTTCACGGTGAGTAATGATCTGTGGATTTAGATTCTCCAGGGGACGCCTTCAGCCTACCAATTATTTTTAGCTTTAAGGTATACATTAAAGTACACATTAATGTATTAAGACTTAAGAAAATCTTCTAAGCAGAAGAACAGACTGTATATTCAGTCTATGAGAGAATATAGAGTACTATATTGTTTACAAGAGTTCATGTTTTTAAGACACACTCACAGTTGTAATATATATAATCTAATTCCTCAGTCATCTAGGTATGATCCACTCAAAAACTACAGTTGACAGAATTACATTTTCTTTTGCTATATAATCTAGAAAAAATAAATAAATAAAATCCAGCAATACTTCAAATCCCTACCTAAAAAAAAATCATTCATATAAAGTCTTATGTTGTGTCTCAATTTGATTGAATGATTCCTTGATTTCTAAAATTTCTTTAACCTTTAATTCCTTGACAATTCAGTGTGTCGCTGCAACATACAGTAGACGGAAGAAAATATAGATCACTATAGATAGATCACAGATTTAAGTATGAACTTTTATTATTAATAGCAGCATTATTTGACAAAAATAAATAGACCTGCATCAGAATTAACTGCCCTTTTTCACAGAACTCCAAATTCCTATATGCGAAGGATGCTCCGTACATCATTGACACTTCTGAGATCGGCTCTGAAGTCTTCATTGGCATTGAGGCTAAAGGGCTCAGTGGGAGGTGAATAAAGTTTGGCCTATTTCAGTTGTAAAAGTTTGTAACTTAAACAACACACTTCTCCATGTTTTAGATTCAGAGTCGTGATCAACAACTGCTGGGCCACTCCAACTCCATACTCAACTGACAGAAAAAGGTGGAGCCTGATCATTAACAGGTAAAGAAAAGAAAAAGTTAATATTTTCTATATTCTTTGCCTGGAATGTCCCACAGTATGGCATTAAGCTTAAGAAATACATTGAAAACATAGATTCTTAATGTGACGAGGATCGCCTCTGAACAAACCAGATCTGTAACTTGGCCTGGTGAGCTCAGCTGCTGTGTCTATGGAGATAATTAAGTTCAATGCCATACTGTGGAACATTTCAATTGTCTCCATGGAGATAAGGCTGGGTCATATCACATTTTGTTATAATCGCTCACTTCAAATGATGACAAATAAATTAAACTAATATTATATCCTTTTCTTTAGCTGTGCATCGGACCACACAGTGACAATATTTGAAAACGCCAAAGACAGCCGCTCCATGTTTAAGTTCAACTCATTTCGGTTTCAGCGCTTGGAGAAGGTCTCGACTGTGTGGCTGCACTGTGAGGTCCACATCTGCGACAGTGAGAGGCTCAACTGTATCCCTGTGAGTCATTATTGCCATTACAATATTATTATTATGAGCGAAGATTAGATGCTGATGATTTGAAAAGAATCAGTATTTTTGGATTAAGTATATATTATTTTGTGTTATGGCCATTAGTTACCTCATAGATGATTAACATTTGCATCACGTAACATTTTATTACAATATTAATATTACTGAGAGGTGAATGAAACATAATTTTCACTGTATTTTCTGATTGAATATAAATATTTTTTTTCTTTATGACCAATAGTTGCCTCATAGCTAATGGAATTTGACTAGATGAAGACTCTGACTCACACTGTTGTCAAGCTGATTTATTATTATTATTTTAGTTGATGTATTGTGCTGACTCTGTTTATATTTTAGAGTTATGTTCATGTAATGGGTTGTTGCCTGCTATTCTGCATATTTATGGGTTTTCAGCTTCGGGTTTATAGGCGACATTTTGAGGACTTCATAAGATATATTATGTAGTTTTGAATGTATCGTTGCTGTGGGAAGAGTTCTAAAATCTGATACTGTCCCTCAGAGCCCATGTTCAACCAGGAGCCTCACTCCACAGCCCGACCCAAACGGAGGAGTTCTCACAACAGAGTTTCTTGTAAGAGGTATCAGCAGTTCATTTATAAATATTTACATTTATTCCATATTACGCTGTTTTTGATTTACACTGTAATGTTGTTTCCTCATCAAAAACATATCTGGAGTTGTGTTTTATTTCATTGACACACGTTTAAAAACACAAGCCCTGTGTGTAGAGGCGGAGTTATTTTTTCAAACTGAAAACACTCTGTTCCACCTCGTGATGTCATATGGTAATACAGGAAGTGCTCAATACACCTTTACTGGAATCATTTGTATAATTTAATCTCTGGACTTCTGCCAATCTCTACTGAACAAAAGGTAACATCACAAGTTGGAACAGGGCATTTTGAGTTTTGAAGATGTGAACAGACTAATAACAAAATGTTACTCATACATGTGTGAATGAAACAAAACACAACTCCAGGTCTGTTATTGATGAGGTAACGGCATTTTAACAGCTAAAATTTCACAGTAGTAAATTTTGTGTAATATAGAACCTTTAATAATGTTTTACTTTGACAGGTAATGCATCTGCTAACACAGGACACTTAGCAGGTATGTATGACATAAACATGGGGTCAGATTTAGATTTAGTTACTTGGTTCTTTCTTTCTTGTGCAGGGATATCGCTGCTCGTGCTGATGGTGGTCCTCATAAATACATTTTTTGATTTGTAAATGGATGTAAACAAACATAATATACACACACAGTTCAATAAGATTTATTTAGTGCAGAAAAACAGACACAAACCATGACAGTTCTTCACTGAGCAATAAAGTTTGTACCAATACACCATTCCCTCGTAATAAATACACATTCAAACACATTCAACTCTCCTATAATAAAATTGTTTTTTTGATAAAATGTCTTTGCCTGAATATCATTAAAACATAATTTCTCATTACAATATAAACACATTTTCTAATATAATTAACATTTTTTAATAACAATTATTTTGTACATGGTGCTTTAAAGGGCACATATTATACTCTGTTGCACGTGATGTCATGTGGAAATAAAGGAAGTGCTCCACTGTGTTTTTAAACTCCATACACCTTCACTAAAATCATTTGGATGATTTCAGACCTGGAATTGCCAATCTCTACTGAACTAAAGGTGAAAGGTACCTGTTAACTTGAAAACTATCGCTTTTTGACATCACAAGGTGGAACAGAGCATTTTTAGTTTTGGAGATGTAGACAGACTAATAATAAATGGTTACAAGTATGAATGAAACAAAACACAACTCCAGGTGTGTTTTTAATCAGGTAATTAATCAGGCATTTAGTTGAGAAAATGTTTAATGTTGCTAATCTCTCCTTGAACATCAACCAAAGTGTACCTTGGACTCTCTGACCTCTGTGTTGTAATCATACTATAAAAAAAACAAAACATTAGTCTGTTGCAGAATAGACTGACCTGAGACGACTGTATAAAGTGGAAGTCAGTGACACAGAAAATCCAAAATATCTTGTGGTCATTTTAAATATTCACCGATGGCATCTGGCTCTCGGTCATCTGGGGTTTGATCAGAGCTTTCCTTTTATCTGCTGTTTTCGATGGTCCTGGTTTCTATAAGGCAAAATTTAACTGCAATAAATACATTCAAGGTGTAAGTTTTCTGACAGAGGGCAATCACCTGCTTTCCTCCATGGAGATGTTTGCCTAGATTGTTCCACAGTAATAAATTAAATTTAACTATCTCCACGGAGACAGGCACTACCAGGTAAGATCTGTGGAGTGGTAAGCCTGCCGTAGGTGAGGGAAATAAAACAACTGTAATTGAATAAATGCTATAAATGCTTTGTTTCCCAAACTTTTTTTCTGGGGACTCATATTTTAAAAGTCATAAACCTTTGCGACCCAAGTCCATAGACATGACAGACCATTATTGTCTGAGTCAAAGCAATAACATCTCCATGGGGACAAGTAGGTACCCACCACATCATCAAAATGCCGCATAGTAAAGAGAATTTATTGACATATATACCATAATATATATTTGCTATCTATAAGTTATAAAAGTTAAGTTTGTGTTACCTCTTGGGACGGTCTGATGCTGTCCGCTGGTGGAGAGTGGTGTTGAATGGCAGGAGGATTGAACCCATGTCTGTTCAGTAGCCAGTAAGTTTTATGACTCCCTTTACCCTGTTATCCACAAATAAATAATTATCAGCATTATTAGCATGCTCCGTAGTAGTTTATAGGCTTACCTTCATTTCAATCTCGCCTCTTTCTTCCAGCTCAAAGATTCCAGTTGTAAGAAGAATATCTGCAGTGGATTGTGTTATATGGATTTTAAGTGCTGTTGGAAAAATACAAATTTGAGTGTACCATAGCAACATATATCCATATATTAAATGCCCACCAATGTCATTAATAACATGCAAAACTAATCTCACGTAAACTGTTACTCTCCATCCTGGACGCCATGTTGACCGTATCACCAAACAGACAGTAGCGAGGCATTGTTGTCCCCACCACCCCGGCCACAACTGGACCTAAAGGCCAATCACAAAGTCTGTAGATTCTGGCCAGTAGCATACTATTCAAAAAAGTTACATAATGCACCCTTAACTACCATTTATTCTGACATCCAACATCCACATACATTGATCTTACCTGAATGAATCCCGACACGAATGGACAGACTCTCATTTGGCATGTGGCGGATCTTGAATCCTTTTATGGCGTTCAGAAAGTGCAGAGCCATGGTACAGGTCTCTATGGCATGTTTGTTTCCATTACTGATGGGCAAACCGCTTGCCACCATGTACGCATCACCAATCGTTTCCACCTGAAAAATATGACGAATAAAGTAATTCAATAAAAATATACTACAATTTTTCAGCAGTAGGGAGCGAGAACACATTTAGTTGAAGCTGCTGTTTTAAATTTGGACTAAAAATTACACTGGGCAATATCCCAAAAGAAAAGCATTTTTTATTTATTTATTTTAGTTTGTTTTTTTGTGAACAGAGCCCTAGGCCAAATATAATAATCTCCAGTTTGATCCTGATTAATCACACAGTCCAAAATGAACAAAGTAATTTATCCATGGTGGGAAATGTGGCTTTGTGGCTAAATAATTGGAATATGTACCCCAGAGGTTTAGATGTATGAATGCACCCAAAAGGCTTTTACGAAGTAATTTCAGTATTTTGATCAATATTCCTTTGTAATGATGTCATACCTTATAAACATCATACATCTTGATGATGTCATCGAACAGGCTGTAGAGATCATTGAGAAAAGTGACCACCTCCATGGCCGAGCTGACGGAGCACATGGACGTGAACCCAACAATGTCCGAAAAGAAGATGGTCACCAGCTCATAACTGCGTGGCTCCACTGACTTTCCTGCCATCAGCTGATCAGCAATATACCTGGAAAGACAGAGTATTACATGGAGTTAGATTAGCTGTTTTATCTATAAGCAGATGAGGCAAATGCACTGAGCTCTATATCCATGTTTTTTTTTAGTGGATAAATGAAGCTAAAGATATGAACCTAAGAAAGCAAATTTTGACATTTAAATTTAAAAGACTGCTGCTCTGATGTTGTGTTCCTGATAAAAGACCCTAGATCATGTATTATCTTTATTATCTATATTGTATTGCATTACATGCATTATACATACATTTTCCAGAATTTGAAAGGATTTTGGCAAGTTCATGAATAGTATGAGGGTTTAAGGATCCCACTGTAGTTTTGCATAGGAGGAGGATCCCACAAACATTTGAAATAGGGCCCCCATAAAACGAGAGACAACCTTAGCAACAATATCTGGTCTAGTGTTTGTAATAGTTACTATTATAAATGTACATGTTTTGATAGTCACTGAAAAAAGATGTATATACTGAAAAAAGATATATATATATACATACATATATATAAAGAAATCTGTTTGTTTTTTTGAAATTATAAACCATAAGCAAATAAATGTAAAATCCACAAATTTGCTTTGAATCAAGATTTAAAAAAAATTAACTGGGGAAAAAAGATCTGATTTGTAAATGTAAAATTAAAATAGTCTTTGTTCAAACAATGTCCACAGCCATACTGTGTGTTTAATGACATAAATTACTTTTACATTCTTTACTTTACAAATTGTACTCCTCGCATCTAATGTCTGTGTCTTATTATGGTAAACAGTACCTGGGTAACATACTGGAGAGGAGCCTGTCCGCACGAGTTTTCTCTGCCGTCAGCTGATTGGTGCGCTCCTCCACCACCTCCTCCAAATGATTTGCATATTTCTCCAACTTATCCACCATATTGTCCAGTATGTTTGCATGACTGAAAATATGAAAAAAATCAACAATGTACTTTAAGGTCATCACAAACGTACCAGTTGTGTTTTGTTTCAATCACACGTTTCACACACTTAGTAACTACTTAATTCATACCCTAACTCCTATTTGTGCATTGTGTAACTTTTCTGGTGGAGGGTCTGTCAAAAGCTTTTTTGACAGACTGATGTTATTGCTTTGTCTGGAGTGTTTCACAGTATGGTATTAAACCTTTCAACCCCGCTCACAGTCGGAATACTTGTTTTTCTAGTTATTTTTGAGCTATAAAACCACCTGTAATTGAATAAATGTGAGTTAGAGCCGTTTAATGTCATACTGTAAAACATTCCAGGCAGCCCAATGACATATCCACTGAAACAAGGAAGTGACAGACCCTCAGTCAAAAAGTATAAAGTATTACCAAAGGCTGAGATTGAAAAAGATTACATAATAAAGTCAACATTAAATCTTTTTGATGTACAATCTCAAAATGACACCTTTCTGGACTGGTCTCCTTGAGCTGTCTTCGTATGGACCCAAAGGGGGGTCTGTGGTCGGGGTTTTCACTCCAGCAGGCTCGGAGCAGGGAGTTTATTTTTTCCTCACACAGTTGTTCAGACAAAGATGGACGCAGTGGTTCACCCTGGAATGGACTTCTCAACTGCATTATTATCTCTGAAACATTACAAAACATGATGACAATTAGACCTCACTGTAATATTTCTCTACCTCTCCAAGCTTTCTGCACTGTCAACACTATGTCTCATTTCATTTCTTCATTTGTTTATTCAGTTTGAGTGTAACATGATTGAATCTCTTGGAAAACTTAAATAGAAATCTGCATAGTTAGCCAAGAACATGATTTTCAGCTATCCGCAATGTCATGTGCTATAAAATATATACAATTTCACTTTATTGTTTCATTATTTGGCAAGAAGTGATGAAAAGGAAGTAAAAGAACTTATGGCTTCAGTATCTCGGTATCTTTCTACCAGAGAGGACTTGCGAGTCGTGACTTGGACTCGAGTCAGACTTGAGTCACTATGTTTAGGACTTGAGACTTGACTTGATAAAATGGACTAAGACTTGGGACTCAACTTGGACTTGAAGGTCAATGACTTAGGACTTGACTCCAACTTGAGGCCTGTGACTTGAGAAGACTTGATGTTACGCCTAAAAAAAATGTTTTTTTAAAAAATACTTTTCTCTTTACAGTTGATAAATGCGGTGCTTAATTTTAAAGCAACAAACTAGAACATGTCCCTCCCACTTCTCTGTCAGATGGAGCTGAAGTACTGTGATATGGTATCTGCAAATGTACTACAGTAATATATAGTACAATATAGTAATACACAGTAATACACAGTGCAATACAGTAAAACAGAGGGAACTACATAGAACATGATCCTTCATGACAAAGTAACCATAGCACTTCTGTTCTGATCCTAATGATTCACACCATGCTCTTGTAAAGACATTTAAAAAGGAAAAATTTGCAGTTCTGCATCTCTTATATAAATACTCATATGTAAATAAACCATGACTTTTTAAGCACAATTTAGTTTAAAATTCATATACATTGCAGAAATCTAAGCTATAATTGGTACTTTGGTTTAAAGACTTGATATGACTTGAAGCTCAAAGCAGACGACTTGGACTTGACTTGGACTTATGGGCCAGTGACTCGAGTTTAGACTTGCCTGTATTTGACTTGGGACTTGACTCAGACTTGAGGTCAAAAACTTGAGACTTGAGACTTGCAAAACAACAACTTGGTCCCACCTCTGCTTTCTACCCATGTGCACTTTGCCATTTTAGTGAGTCTTCCATCTTACAAAAGTAGCACAAATCAAAAAGATGCAAAAATACTGGTGTAAATAAACTGCATGTTTGCCTCAGGGGGTAATAATAATAATAATACTACTATATATTTTGTGCCAGTTCCAAGCCCTGATAAATACTGGAGTTTGCCTATTAAACTGGAACCGATACAAATACAAATACAAATAGCTGCCCCTAGTGATACTTTGCAGTTGCATCATGCTGGGGGTGTTCTATATGCATCTCTGTGGTGGAATGTTCAGCAGTTTCCATGGTGATACAATGTACATATTAGCAAACTGGTAACAATTTTAAAGATTGTCTGAAAAATGGATTTAAACAACAGTCAGGAACCAGTGAACTGTTCATGACTCTGATTTTCAAAATAAAGGTGATTTCCAGCTAAGTCAGTTATTTAGGCTCAGATTGTGTTAAAACAAAGCTTGGATTAGAGTCTAAAAATAGTCTGAGATTAAAGTGTTCAATAGTTTATTTCTATGGCAACAGTGCTCTTTTTCATCACTCAAAACAAAACCCATGGACTGATGCGTGTTTGCTTGGTGACTGAAATGTATTGCTTGAAGTTGCTTTTTGTTAAGCTTAGTTCAATAGCTCACTTCTGATTATAATATTCTTGAACAATGTTTTCGTAATCCTCAGCTTTCTGCACTGTCTACAAGAAAAATTGTATTTGTATTTCTGAGTTAATCCTTAAATGAAAACCAGTGGTAGACTACTGACCTTTTGGCTCTAAGTTGAAGTCGGAGAAAGGACCAGATTTGGAGTTGTACATGAGTTCCCACATGATCATAGCAAAACTGTAGACATCCCCCTTTGGCGAGCCAAAGCAATGGTGACCAACTTGTCTTAACAGCTCTGGCGCTGTCCAGTACATCTCTACAACAAAATTAGCCAAACAAATGTGTAACCAAGGCAAAATATGGTTCAAATTAACTCCAATGTATTAGATGTATTTCTTTGGAAATGTCGAAAGCAGTCTAAATGTAAATAAATCATTACATCATGTTGCTGTTTGAGCCAACAAATCTACACTTGTACATACTGACCTTCATACTTGTGGTTTTCCAGTGAAGCAATCCTTTTCTTGTGAGCATTTTTAAATTCCCAAAGTCCGAAGCCAGACAGTTTAATCTGCAGTCTGCTGTCCACCAGACATGTGCTTGGCTTCAAGTTACCGTGAAACTTCATGCAACTTTTATGTAGGAACTCCATTCCCTACAACAACAAAAACATCACATGGAATATATAAGAACACTACAAATATGACCACCTGTATTTAATGCATTAGTTTTGTAGAGAGCTTTTCCAGACACTTTAAGTCGCAATTACAGTTTCATGCATTGGGGTTTCACTACACACGCAGAGTTAGTCCACACCAGGCCACACCTGCCCCACAGAAGTGTGGCTGCCAATCTGAGCCTGTGGTCCCTATGACCTACAGCCTGGAGTACATACTTTTCCTATTCTATCCTACATGCAGGGTTATGGTTATATTGATTTTCCAGGCTCACACACCACATACATGCCTTCATTACACCTTGCCATTATATGACGGATTCAGACATTGGCAAAGTGTCTTGCCCACGGACACAATTGAAATGAATAACACTAGTATTCACTAGTTGTAATGCTATTGAGAAATATTGCTTTATTGCTATAAAATGGGAATTGTCAAGGCACAACAAATCCTAAATAATATTTCAGTCCATTATTTAAATAAAAAATCTAGGCGAGAATTGAAATGAAGTTTTCCTCTATGCACAACTTATTACCAGTTATACACCATATATTTAGTTTTAATTTGAGGTGGTTTTAGCCGTGTACAAGGAAATGATAAGATGTTTGACTTACACTGACAATATCATAGGCGAAGGAGACTTTAAACATACTGTCCAGCTCTGCATCTGAAGCAAAGATATCCTAAAACAAACAGAAAAGTGTTTGGGAATCATCTCTAGTATATTTATGTTTACTATTTTTATTACTATATATTTATATCTATTTACTGTGTCTATTACCTTGAGGCTGCCTTTCCTGCAATACTGCATCACTAAACACACATTTGGGGGCTCATTACAAACTCCAAAAAACTGCACTAGGTTTTCATGTTTCATTTCTTTCATCTGTGTTCAAAAAGTGGTTAGACTCAGATCAGACTGAAATGATAAACTTTTACACTTTAAAATGATAGTTTACAAAGCAAATCAATGTAAAAGTAAATATTTTGGATTGGTTTGATAAAGTATTTCTTTCTGATTTATGAATGTATAATTTCGGTATTACAAAAAAAGCATTTAGGTACATACAATTAATGACTAACACTGTTTACCGCATTAAACTCTGCAATAATGGAGGGCTTCTGAACATTGATCCCTGTGTGATCCTTGAGGTATTTGATAGCAACTTGATTCCCCTGAAAAACAATGTATAATTACGAACAATATGCATTACTATCATTTTTAACTAACCTTTTTTTCTTTCAAAGGTGCATTGCGCAACTTTTCTGGTTGATTGTACCAGCTTTTTCCCCATGTAGATTTGGAGCTTTGCCTGGAATGTTCTACAGTATGGCATTAACTTATTTACCTCCATGGAGACAAGCAGGTGAGTCCACCAAACCAAGTAACAGGTCAGATCACTGGAGGTGACAGCTCTCACAGTAAGAACACATTTTTCACTTTTCAAGGCAAATTTAGCAATAAAACCACTAGTTATTGATAGGGATGTAACAATATCCAAAACTCACGGTATGATATTATCACAAAATATGCATCTCATGGTATGATATTTATTATGATAGTTTGTGGAAGTTGTTGTAGATTAGCCAGATTCATCAGCCAGTTTCACTTCGTGGAAACTGTCTGACCTCACAGCATTAGAATTTGTTCGCTCAACGGTAGGTGGGTACTTTTTTATTTAACCAATCGCTGCTATTTGGTTGCGATGTATGTAATATCTTAACAAGAATGCAGTTCAATACTTTCATAATCCCAAGAATTAAAGTTAAAAAAAGTGAAATTTCTTCATGTTGTCTGCACTGAAATAAATCATGGGATATGTAGTTGTAGATATGTTTCTTAGCTGTTACTACTATAAAACCATGCATTTAAGCAAATTAACTTGTGATTCGATATATTGTGACAGCCCACAATATTATTGAGAGACCTTTGATGATACGATATCACAATATTTCATTATTGTTATATCCGTAGTTACTGAATTAATGCAAGATAGACAAGATAATTTAATGCCATACTGTGAAACTTTCCAGGCGGAGCGGTAACATCTCCATGGAGCCCACCAGGTGGGAAAAGTTACATAATGCACTTAAACTGAAATACTTTACCGACAGTCAACACCAAACTATATAATTTTATTTAAGGACAAGAGTGTATAAAAGCAGACCTGGTACAGTCCTATGCTGGCATACACATTTTCTTTCCCTGTTTTGTCTTTCAGGCCGTAGCTGTTGTTTGAGAAATTGGACTGAGACCCTCCACTCCCGCTGTGACTGCATGTGGTGCTCAAAGACAAAGCTCTATTCAACTGTAAGCCAAAGACAATATAATATTAGACATAAAAATATACACTTATTCTGACATCTGTGTGTTATATTTTTCGTACCGTGGGCTCTCTGATGACTGTGATGTCGTTATAGTTTATAAGCCACCAGCAGGAATCGTCCAGTTTGGTTTGGAGGCGGAGCTTTTGTAGCACAAGAACCCCGATGCACAAAACAGCAACTACTCCAATGAAAGGGAAGCTGACTAACAACATGAGGAGGGCGATATCTGTGAACAAAACAAAACGTGTTAGTTCTTAAAGGTGTAACTTTTCTGGTGGGGGGTTTGCTACTTGCTTGTCTTCATGGGGATGTTATCCTTTTGCTTGGAATGTTTCACAGTATAGGATTAAGTTTATCTTTCTACATATAGAGATGCAGGTCACATATATGGAGAGTTGTATTGGACCAAACAGAAAGACAAAGACAAGGTATAAAAACAAGTTTCAACTTAATAAAGTAAAAAAAAAAAAAAAAAAAAGTAATTTAACAAAGGCTCAAATTAGGTAAATCATTAACAAAAAGCCAGGCCCAACTGGGGTAACTCAAATCAAACTGAACAGAACAAAACTTACCCAACCAGACAAAGAACAGAGGTGTTTAAATACCTGAAGACCAAGTAAAACTGAACACAAGAGGGAGGAATTACACTAAATAATTAACTAAAGCTACTAACTTAATCAAAGTAACAAAAAGGCAAATAAATATAATACAGAAAATAATAAGTGATAATAAAGTGACCTAAAACAAACTAGACAAATTAACTTAATAAAACAAATTAAATAGTGCTCCCCCCTTTTTTTTGGCGTGTATGGTCCCTGCCAAGAGTCCTCTGTCCGGCCATTTAAACAAGCAAAAAAGTGCAAATAAACAAGACTTATATTGTAATTTGGGTGCACACATTTTAGTATAAGTGTAAATAAAGGAATTAACTTAGTGTAAATGAAATTAAATGAAATAGTACCAACAGTGTGGAGTGGTGGCAGAGGTAACCCCCACAATAGGCGACAATGATTTTTGTCATTTTCATATTTTTCAAGGTGTTTTTTTTTGTAATAAAACATAATCAAATGAATGTAAAATAGATTTAATGTAATTTAAGGCAAAACGATAACATCTCCATGTAGATAAGTAGGTGACACTACCAGAAAAGTTGCCTGGTCCATCTTTAAAATGTCTTAAAAGAATAATTGATTATAAAAGTAAAGAGGCATACCACTAGTTAACCATTCACACAGTTCATTGTTGAAGCCACATTCTGGGTTGTCAGTCGGTGGTTTTCCCTTTGGCCAAATCAGGGAAGGGAACATAGCAGTCGGTCTGAAAAAAATACTTTATTTTAGCCAAGATTGTTAATTCATGTGTGGTTTGGTACAGTTAAACTTGAGTAGGGTTCATACCTCACTGTTTTGGTGTGACTTTCAAAATTAAGTATAGGGACAAACTTTGTGGTGTCTCCAATGTGCTGCAGATCATATATGGAATAATCCAAGTTTCTCTCTCCGTCCTCATCAAAATGGACCAGCCCAGAAGCACCTAAAATAACAATACCACAATGGATTATAGATTAATTAATTATTATTACAAATTTATAATCATATTTCATTTTTTTTGTTTTGTTTTTAGATCAGGAAATATCAGATGAACTTCTATTGCACAGTATTTTCTGGTGAAAGATTTTGAGATACTAATTTGAACCACAAGAGGTCAGTAAAGTAATAGTGATAGTAAAGAATGTGAATGTTTAGAAATTCTATATATTCATAATTGTCTTTTTCTGTTATACTGTGTTATATCCAGTGCAATTTGAGTATAATGTATGTTAAATGTGTGATTATTCTTTTCACCAATTTAAGTCTTATTTTTTGGAGATGAATGTTACAGTTGTTTATATTTTTTATCAAAATTGTATACAGACAGCATTTACCCCTGAACCACTAAACAGCCACCAAGCTTGGAAAAACATTTACCTTCAGATATTTCTACTGCCAAGGTCCATAAATATGTGTTCAATATTGTGATAACGAAAGCATTTACCATAAAATCGAATATTATGTTTGTTTTTCAGTCTTATTAGAAGCTCCTGTCCGTCGTGAGGATCCTTTCCATCTTTGAGCACTTCCTTCAAGCCCATTGCATAAAGAAGCACAGCGTCATGGAGGTAAGCAGAGTAGGGACTAACCTGAAATGTACATGTTAAATTATAATTATGGGGATGTGTAAATCAATTTAAAGGATCACTGCATATAACTTTTCCGGCGAAAGACCCAGGGACTGTTGTTATTGCTTTGCCTGGAATGTCTCACAGTATGGCATTAAACTTAAAGGGGCCATATTAAAATATTCTCTGATCTCTGACCTGGAGTTGTGTTTTGTTTCATTCACACATTTAGGAGTTCCTCTCTCAAACAGAAAATGCTCTTCCACCTTGTGATGTCACATGTTTTTAAACTATATACACCTATTTGGATCATTTCAGCCCTGGAATTGGCAATGTCTAACCATTAACATTTGGCCGCTAACTTGAAAACTACCACTTCATGACATCATAAGGAGAAAAAAGCATTATGAGCTTTGGAGATGCAGACAGAGTAATAATAAAGAGTTACTCGAACATGACTGAATGAAACAAAACCACTCCAGGTATGATTTTGCAGAGGTAACAGCATTATAACATGGCTTAAATGGATCTGTGAAGAGCAGGGCTAGAGGTTAGATAAGTGTAATGCCGTAGTGTGGAACATTCCAGGGAAACGTATAACATCTCCATGGAAACAAGCAGGTTAACCCTTACCTCTCTGTCCGATGTGAGGTTACTATTGAATGGAGCACTTTTGAGCTTTTCATAAACTTGGTCAAAGAAGTCGTAATACTCGTAACCTTCGTAGGATTTCTGTCCAATCACAAACACCATCTCAAACGCCCTAATGGCCGCCTGGTTTATTCTGTTGTTTAGTGCGTATTTCCACAAATTATCCTGAAAAGTATCACAGTTCAAGTGAGACTGTATTGTAATTCATTTTCACATTTGTAAAGATTTTGGATTTTTGTTATGTGTTTATAAAGAACCACTCACCACGGTGCCACTGACCTCAAAATGTTGCACCAAGAAGAAAATATAATCCCCGTTCATTAGGCCTTGTCGCTCAGCCTCCATCAAAAGAGCCATGGAGTCCTCGCTGTTTGTAATCACCACAATAACTACAAAACAGTGACAAAAGTTCAATAGGTGACAATTATAGATATGTATACCTTTTTAGGAATATAGGTTGACATAGGAAGATAAGTCTAACCATTCTATAAAAATACAATAAGCTTAATGCAGTAAATACTTTAAACATTAGATTAGAAGTCAATAGGCCAAAACCGTTCATTTATAATATTCTGAGGTAAAAAATGATGAAACTTGAAGTATTTTTATGTCGATTTGATCCAGCTCTATGCATAAAATTATTTAATGTTCTTGTTACTCATATTATAGTCCAAAAATATTGATTAACGTACTATGATCATATTTTAGAGAAATGAAAAAGCCACAGGGGGACAGTAAAGTAAAAGCTGAAAATTCACAAAGATACTGAACACTTTACACAGTATAGTTAGATTTTTAAGTGCCTTCAATTACTGAACAAGAATTGTGCATTGAAATGTAACAACAACTGTCAAATCAAAAAGTATTCATGTTTTTTTGTTTTTTTTTTAAGAAATCATGTTTCTGGTAAGTAAAACAAAAATACACTGTTCTGTGTATCCTTTTCATGTAAATGTGTCATTAGAAATGTTGCCATAAATTAACAAATTACACAACATACAGTACATCAGTGGCTTTCAATAGGTGAGGCCTGCCTCCTCTGAGGGGCGCCAAAGAGCTACTGGGGAGGCACGACACACGCGAACTAAACCAGGACTGATCCCAGGAATGAACTAGGACTAAACCAGGACTGAACCAGGACTAAATCAGAATGGAACCAGGACTGAGTGTCGGGTGGGGGTGAAAGGATCAGCGCAGAGCTCCGCACCCCACAGAGCTCAGTGCAGCCGTTGCCCGCTTGTGCTTTGCGGACACCCTGTAACCCACCTATCTTGCTCTCAAGTCCTGGTTTAGTCCTGGTTTAGTCCTGGTATCCTACTGATGTTCAGTGGTGTTAAAAGTAGCCTCAATTAGGCCTGCATGAAGTTGCAAATTATTTGCTGTTGCAAAAATTGTTCATGAATGCACTTTAAAAATATATGAAAATATAATATTAAAAATATATATTGTCAATTATTGAAAATCATCATTGCCAGGAAAACAAAAGATGCATTTACTTCAAAGGTCTGTGTAGGGTAGGCCAGGCGGAGGGGAGCGTGGGCTCAGCTGTCTACCTACTCTAAGGGAATGCTAACATTCACCCAATTTGAAATACCCTGCAATACATCTTTTGAATGGAAAAAAATAAAATAAAATCCTGAAAGTCCCATGAATCGTTTGCATTAGAATTGTGTTAACATATTTTCCACAATAACTCTAAATGAATAAAATATTAATTTTACACACTGGACTTACCTCTTGCTACCGTGGCGATAAACTTGATGTTGTTATAGAGGAGCTGGGGGTTACTGGTGTCAAACTTCACAGCGGCCGTCAGTTTGAAGTTCTTCCTGAGAGGGTCTTCTACGGTTTTCCACAGAGCATCCACTTTGTCCCATGTGTTTGAGTCCAACCCTCCTCCGATCATCGCCACATATCTCCAGCCAAAAAACTCCAGAGTCTTTACCAAAACCTCTGCACTGCGTTTCAATGGTGGGACGATCTTCACATAAGAGTCATACACGTAACTGTTGTCCAGTTTGGAAGACTGACCCACAAAGCCAAACATGGGGATGTTCCATGTGGATGCAATGAGACCAGTTACCTGTAAAGAAATACAATATCATAAAGGCAGTGGCTGCAGTTATATGTAGGCGCTGATATTGTACATTTTGATGGATTGGATATCAACTTAAAGATATTGATTCAGACGATATCCCATTTTGGTTTATAAACTGGTGTAAAGACGATTTCACTGGATGTTGGGAAAAACACCATACGTCATTTATGTTTAAAAGGAATCAGTTATATTTTGTCTCTGTCCTGGTACTGGTTAATATCAGGGATTGGCAAACACTTTGGCCAAAGTATCAACATCGATATCAGAACAGAGAAAAGAAAAATCTGAATTGGTGCATCCTTCGTTACATGCGCACGCCAAAATCTGATTATCTGACTTCTGGATCTTTAAGATCCTGCTACATTTGCTACATCTGATGCCAGTGATCAGAGGGATCATGATCAAAAAGAAATCTGATGTTTTTGCAGTTTGCATTTAAATGTTAATAGTCTTATAACTCCAAAAATGTGTTCATGATCAGATTTTGAGTGCGCATGTAACTGCAGCCAGAGTTCAGATCAAAAAGTTGTGCAAAATCTAAGATAAATTGACATAACAACATATAAATTGGTCGACTATGAGACTTGCACACATGCCACATATTAAGTGGGACTAAACTTGGAACGAAACCTGTAACAGAACTACACCAGGAATAAACCAGGACTAAACCAGATCTGCTTTAGCACTAAACTGGACCCAAACCAGGTTCAAACCAGTACAAGTGTGATCGTATTCCTAAGTTTGAGGTTGACTCCTTATTTTTAAGTGCCATTTTCTGATGATAAGAATACTAAATTATATAGAATATCTAGTTGACTATTAATTGTATCTGATCAAAAATATATGTGAAAATAAAATGTTGGTTTAAAGTAAATAAACAAAAATAAATTCATCATAAAAAACATAAACATAGCCTATAATAGAAATCTGATAGAAATAGAAATTTGAATTATTTTAGCCACACTAACCTCAAATAAAAAGTATAGGTTGTGACTTTTGTAATTCATGCTATAAGTAAAGTTCAGGTTCAAGTATAATTTCTATTCATGTAGGCTAAATGTTCCAGTACAAATCATTTTATATTTTATTTATTTTGTTTATTTTAACACATACTTTGATCACCTAGTGTTTCTATATAATTTGGTGTTCTTATAATCAGAAAATGCAGGAGAACGCTACAGAAAAACAAAATCCTACCCACATTTTGATCAGAGTAGCCTGGATATCTAAGAAACTACACATTCACATCATAAACACAATATATATACCTCTTTTTGTTATGAATAAAACATTTTGAACCGTTTTATCCTCACAAACCTCTGCCTCTTCAGGACAGGCCGGTCCAAACAGCGCAGACACGTTCTCCTTCCACACCTGATGGATGAACCCTCCCAGAGACGCTTTGGGGTCGCACTGTGTGTCCGTGAACACGAAATCCAGGCTGTAGTTCCCCAAAATAGATGGGTTCTTGTTTACTTTCTCCACGGCGATCTGGATGGCCGCTCCGAGCCTTAACGCGCTGAAAGGGTAAGATACATTCCACGGGGCCTGAAAACCAATAAGGATTTTTTTGTTAGAAATATTTGTCCCATTGTTATTTGCTGTTGTAGAGGTGGTTAGAAAAGAGAAAGAAATAAGCAAAGGAAGGATCATAGTAGACACAGGTGATGTTAATCCCTCAGGTGAGCAAACAAGGTTCTTAAATTTGCACTAAGGAAACCAGGCTTAAATACCCCCACCCCCAGCATCCCCCCAGTGATGCTGGACAGAGGGGAGGGAGGAAGAGGGAGGACAGGTGGGGAGGAATGAGTAGGTGCAAATGCAATGTATTTGTTGCGATACAGTTTGTTCTAAATTAAAACTGACCTGTTGTGAGTTAATTATTCTCAAAATACCGGAATTATGGTAGGACATTGTTGAGCAAATTTAACTAAGAATTACGGTATATAATCACATCAAACTGAAATGACATAAGTTCTAATGAGTTTTAGGTGTTTAATTTAATCACTGTCTTGAAATTGTCATTTAGCTTTGGGTTATTTCTTGGTCAGGAATCAAAATACACTAGACTGTTCACAAAAACCTCAGAAGTGCGAGTTCAGGCACCAGCCAATCAGCGAAGAGCCATACATTCAGCGTGGTCCCGAGATCAAGGATTTAAAGCCAAAATAAAGAGAATATTTGGTTTCATTAATGGGAAAGACGTTATTGCCCTTCTTCCTACAGGATTTGGGAAAAGCTTAATATACCAGTTAGCCCCATTAGCGGCGCATTACATATGTCACGACCAAATAGCAGCGATTGGTTAAATGATAAAAAGTACCTGCCTACCGTCGAGCGAACAAATTCTAATGCTAATGAGGTCAGATGGTTTCTACAAAGTGAAACGAAGTGAAACCGACTGATGAATCAGACTACCATTGGGGCATTTCAGTGAGACTTTCTAGCCAGGCTGGCGCCACCTAGTGCCTCTGCTCAATTTCATTTCTCTCCAGCGACTAGGTCAGGAATCAGAATACACTAGACGGTTTACAAAAACCCCAGAAGTGCAAGTGTGGGCTCAAGTCAATCAGTGAAGAGCCGTACATTCTGTGTTGACAATGATTCCCGAGATTGAGGATTTAAAGCCAGAACAAAGAGAATGTTTGGTGGATTTTATCAAGGGGAAAGACATTATTGCCCTTCTTCCTACGGGATTTCAGAAAAGCTTAATATACCAGTTAGTCCCGTTAGCGACGCATTACATACATCACGACCAAATAGCAACGCTTGGTTAAATAAACAAAAGTACCCATCTACCGTCAAGCGAACAAATCACACTGCGAGTTCAGACGGTTTCTATGTGAAGTGAAACTGGCTGATGAATCAGGCTAGAGACTTTCCTGGATGGAAGAAGGATAAAACAAGGAAAAACAATAAATAAATCAAATCAAATTAAACAATGAATCAGCCATAATATCGCAGTATGATCACCCCCTGCGCCTGAATGTTTGCTCAAGTGGCATAAATGGGTCAAATGCGAGGGTCACAGATCCATTCTGTGAGAATAAAATATGGCTTTGGCATAACCGGGTAAATAAGTAACCAAATGTCTCAAAGAAGATTATATGATAGGCTCATATTAGGATTTTACCTAGAGTACACTCCACAACCCTTTAAAAAAAATAAAAATTATAGTCATTAGGCATGAGTTAATTTATTCTCAATACCAGCCTTAAATAACTAAATAAATATGCACATAACATTTTAAACCAGCAATGGTATGATGGTGTGTGAAGAATAAAATAATAAATGAGTATGGGTGAAACTAGAGCACAGTGCACCGTGCAATTGTGTTATGCCTTTGTTATTCCACTAGAGGGCGCCGGCATATATTCATAATAATCTTTACAAGCTGCTGCTGTCCTCTTTTTTATTTATAGATCTAGTTTTTATAACCTGTATCATCACTTTTAAATTCTGATATCAACAAAAGTGTTTAAGCTTATTTCTACTGTTTGCTTAAGTTATGTTAGGGTACATGTTACAGGCTATTCTAATATTAATCGCACAATAAATTATCTTATCTTCTTAACTATAAAACGTGTAATAAAGTTGAACGCGCTGTAGCCTCCTATTGTACCGTCACCTCTTGTGTGCAAACAGCGCACAAATTGCACCACGCTAATGAACCAAGTAGCTGCTTATTATTAATTCGTGGTTACGGTGAAGGTGAAAAGTGTCTCGTTGTCCTCTGGGGAGCGGATTTGCTGGATCAGGGGCGCGAAAAGCCGAGAAAAGCCGAGGCAGAGGCAGGTCGGGCAGTGTTTGGTGTGAAGTGTTCCTGCGCTCACTCCACACCTGTGCGTCGTTGGTCGCTGGCACCGCTAATGACCGCACGTGGACAGATTGCTTTTAGATACGGGGCCGGTTTGAGCTGGGTTTGGTCCTCTGGGGGTCCACCTGCTCCGAGTCTCCTGTCCCCGTAACTACCTCTGCTCATCCCACCAGGTAAAAACAAAACCGACGTGTAACCAAGGCGTAATCATGTGCAGCACAAATCTAGGGCTGCCCACAGGATAATAAATTAAGTCTACGGTTACCAATGAAACACGTGCGCTCTTGTTGAGAAATATGGTGGGTAAAGAGGAAGCCTTAAAGAAACTGTGCCCTAGTATTAATACTGAAGTCATGTAGTCAAACGTACTTGCTCCACATTTTAATTTCATGCTAAAAAATGACGTAGAACAGCTGCCAAACATTTAAAGATGCACTATGTAACTTTTCTAGTAGCAGATGTGTCCACTGCTTGTCTCCATAGAAAGCCCCTTGCATGTCCCACAGTTTGACATGAAATCCGTCCATGCTTTTATTCATGTTTAGGCATTTTTATTGCGCAAAATACTCATAAAAGATGTTGTTTACTAGTGAAAAGGCTCGTCTCTCCACAGATCTGACCTGTAAGAACAGTCCTGACAATGAATGGAAACAAGCCAGAGACCCACCCCCCACTAGAAAACATTAGTCTTCAAATATTTTTAATGACCCAATAAATTTAATAATACGAGAAAACACGATGTCACTTCCTAGGCAAGAAGCGTCCGTATCTACAACATCAACATCGTCAACAGTTATGGCCGTACAACATCAACATCGTCAACAGTTATGGCCGTACAACATCAACATCGTCGACATTTATCGGCATACAACATCAACATCGTCAACAGTTATGGCCGTACAACATCAACATCGTCGACATTTATCGGCATACAACATCAACATCGTCGACATTTATCGGCATACAACATCAACATCGTCGACATTTATCGGCATACAACATCAACATCGTCGACATTTATCGGCATACAACATCAACATCGTCAGCATTTATCGGCGTAAAACATCAACATCGTCAGCATTTATTGTCGTACAACATCAGCAATCATCGTACAACAGTACAACATCAAGATCGTCAGCATTTATCGACGTACAACATCAACGATCGTCATACAACAGTACAACATCAACATCGTCGACATTTATCGGCATACAACATCAACATCGTCGACATTTATCGGCATACAACATCAACATCGTCAGCATTTATCGGCGTAAAACATCAACATCGTCAGCATTTATTGTCGTACAACATCAGCAATCATCGTACAACAGTACAACATCAAGATCGTCAGCATTTATCGACGTACAACATCAACGATCGTCATACAACAGTACAACATCAACATTGTCAGCATTTATCGGCATACAACATCAACATCGTCAGCATTTATCGACGTACAACATCAATGATCGTCATACAACAGTACAACATCAACATCGTCAGCATTTATTGGCGTACAACATCAAAAATTGTCATACAACAGTACAACATCAAAATCGTCAACAGTTACTGGTGTACAACATCAACATCGTCAGCATTTATCGACGTACAACATCAATGATCGTCATACAACAGTACAACATCAAAAATTGTCATACAACAGTACAACATCAAAATCGTCAACAGTTACCGGTGTACAACATCAACATCGTCAGCATTTATTGTCGTACAACATCAACAATTGTCATACAACAGTACAACATCAACATCGTCAACAGTTATCGGCGAGTTTTAACTTTTGAAAGTAACGTTTTTGATCCTCAACATGTCATGTCAAAACAATTCAATGCATGCACGTTATCTCATGACAGACATCCGCAACGCAACTATCAACACAAATGAGCAGTCCCACTGACTTTTTGCCTACCAGCCACTGCGCACGAGTGGAAAAGCTGGATGTAAACAAAAGTTTTCTCGTATGGCATTAAAAGTATCAAAGGAATGCAGAGTTTGGTCTATCACAATAAAAAAAAGTAAATTAAGATGACAATCTGATGAAACCAAATCATACCATAAAGCAGAATTATCCCCAAAAATGTATTCTATATGAACAATATTAAGAACATGGGCTGCAATAAATAAATAGCAGAATGAAACAGTTAAGTAGTTTTGTTTATAATGACTGATAGAAGTTCATAATTCAACCTCCTTCAGCTCGAATTGCATCATGATACATCTGTCATATATTGAACAATAAATCGATTTAGTGATTATCATGACGGGCTGAGCAACAGGGTGTTCCTCCTAAATTGTATTGTAATGTACAAGGATAAATGAGCACCTTTTACTGCCCTGTAGGACTGACCCTGTTTGGAAACTAGAGGAATACATGATCATGCCCTGCTACATTAACCTTTCTTTATCTTTAAACCAAACAAAAACAAATGCATGCAGGTGAAATTACAGCTGGGAGAATATCGTTTTTACGCCTTTTTGAGACCGCATGTCCCACAGAGATGATTACATTACATATCGCTCTGCTTAATCCTCTGATAAAGTGAAATGATAAGTAATGTTGAAATAGGTGGGTGTGTTTTACTCAATAGCTTATTTCCTCCTGCAATTCAAGGAGAAAAAATACCCCAAAATAACATCTCAAGTAGAGGAACTAATAAAGAGCATTTTTAGGTTTTTAAAAGGTGTTGTTTGAACCTGAATTTTGATAACAAAGCTTTACAAATCAGTTTATTAGTTAATAGAATTTGCACTTTAGAGTCTGTATTACACTATTTTCTAATCTATGGGATAATGTTTCTTCATTAAAAACATCCCTGGAGTTGTGTGTTGTTTCATTCAAACATCCTGCATATTTAAGTTGTACTCTTCTCGCAGACTGTTCCACCTTGTGATGTCATGTGGTAGGTCCCTGAAGTGCTCCACTGTGTGTTTGAACTCCATACACCATCTCTAGAAGCACTGGATGATTTCTGCCCTGGAATTGCCATTGCCAAGGTAACCACTACCACTACATGACATCACAAGGTGTAACAGCATTTTGAGCTTTGGAGATGCAGACAGACTAATAATAAAGCATTACTCAAACATATGTGAATGAAACAAAACAAAACCGTAATTTGTTTGATGAAGTAACAATATCATAATATGTCTTAAAGCTCACAAGAGTCAATTTTGCGTATGTAGGACCTTTTAAAATTTTCAGTTTTATCTACTTTGACTCTTGCTTTCTCCCTTACTACTATTTACATAACAACAACACTTGAGTCATGAGTACAACTTCTCCCTGGCCTTCAGCTGTACTTTGAGACCAGATTCTGATGAGATGAGATAAATAATGATCTTTTAACCTTTCACCTGGTGTACCATTGATAGAATTGCTTTTGGCTTATTCTCAACACAAAATGCTTTGTAACTAATTTAACGTCGATATTGAATAGTTCAAGTTATAAAATTGTATATTATACTGCAAGATTAATCAAAATTAGATAGAAATTGTAATTTGAATTGTCACAATTGGCAAATTATTAAAGAATATACCATAATTTCCTCCACAAACGACAAAATATTTTTATTCTGTCTTATTCTGCTTAAAAACTGCTAACCTTGGATCTGCACATGTTCTAAAATGTAATTAGTGTCAGTTCATATTTCAGTGTTCTGTCAGTATTTTTTTCTTTATTTAAAATCAAAATTTTGTGAATACTATCAGAAAATCACAATTGGTTATTTTTTTTCTTATCTTCCTTCCCTAATTATAAATGTAAATGACTGTGTTATGGTAAGAGGTTTTGACTGTAGTTAAATCTGTGCTAGTTTTATCAGCGAGAGGAGATGGGGGGCCAAGGTGCAAAGGTTTGTCGTCAGATGTGTTTATGGGTTTCCTGTGTTCAGAGCCGAGGATCTCACCTGTCAGTGTCCCTGTCACTGTCCCTGCTGCCACACCAGCTGGACCAGGACTGTGGCAACACCAGGTAAGAGGAACCAGTGCTAAATACTCTTGTACAAACTGTATGGAGTATGTGCCATTACAGATTATGACTGATATTAATCACCACGGAACAGAAATCTGTTTTTGTCATTGCATTTAGTACGAGCAGGGACAGCAGTTGTGCATCTTTTATAATCCTCTGCAAACTACACTAGTATAGGTCTATTCCTGTAGTTCAGTGATTCTCAACCACTGTGCCGTGAGAGATCGTCAGGTGTGCCGTGAGAAATGATCCAATATCACTTTTTTTAAAATAAAAATTTATTAATTATTACCTGCAAATATTATGTCATTGTCGAGTGTCCGACACTATACTACAGTGTAGTATATAATGACTGGCAGAGTGATCTAATATTCGTCCGGGTGGCAACAGGCAGCTAATTGCCTCGTTCCTTTAAATCAGTGGTGCTCAATACGTCGATCGCGATCTACCAGTCGATCGCCAAGGTCGTGTGGGTAGATCGCTGTGTCTCGTCTCGGACTCGCGTTTGCACTCGGTCTTGTCTCTCACTCAAGGTCTGACACTCAACAAGTGCGATCATATTTCATTACGGCCGCTGCTGTTGGTAAAAAACTTGTACAGGTGTGCCAGAGCGTGTGGGGCGTCTCAGTGCAGCCCGCGGAGACTCTACAGCACATCACAAACACACACGCTCCCTACGCACGGCTCGTCTGCAACAGCATGTGCCCTCGTGTACCAGCGTGCATCACAGGGCAGGTTAAACTTCCTAAACATCCTACCTGTTCATCTGCCTCACGTCAGCACGCCGCCCCTCGCCTTTTCACGCTCTCGCTCCTTCCTGCATACAGCGAACACAAGCCCCTTCCACAGTGCGCGTTGATTAGAAGAGCAAGACCAAACGTGGAGCAAAAACGAGTCTAAATTTGTGTTGCAGTGTTGGCACAAAGCAGGTCTACAGCATAGAGCAGATCTACAGAACAGACCTCCTGCCACATTTGGCTGAAGTTTGCCTAACAAAAGTGCACAAATGCATCTGTGTTTGTCACGATGTGCGTTTGATTTGGTAAATGTGCAGAGGCTGGTAAATATCACTGCAAAACCAGAAAAGAATGAAACTCCAGTTTGGAACTTTAAAAAACAGGTTTAAAAATCTTCACTTTTTTCACAGTTTTGTGTAAAGTGCCAGAGGAAGTTCTCTTAAAGAAGAGGTTCTCAAACTGTGGGTGAGGGTCCAAAAAAGGGGCACAGAGTGTTTCAGTGCAGTCTGCTTGGCTTTGTATTAGGTAGATCTTTATGACTTGGTCATTTTGTAAGTAGATCGTATGCTGAAAAAGTGTGAGCACCCCTGCTTTAAAAGAATTAGTAACGCATGTGCATGGTGTCATGGAAAAGTTTTTAAAATGGACGAATGCGAACTCCGAAATGGGCCCTGGACAAGATTCTGACCCAGAAGAAGAGCTTTTCAAGCTTAACTGCTATAAAAACTAAAAACAGAGAGAGACTGAGAGCTGTTGATGAAGAGCTTCGTGTGTGTCTTTCTTCTATTCCTGCCAGGATATCAGCTTTGTGTTCATCTAAACAGGCGCAGGTCTCACACTGAGTAAGTAGAAATTAATGTAGAAATTATATTGTAATTAAATATACTATATAGTGTCATTTTTGTAACATTTTGGTTAGTGGTGTGCCGCAAGATTTTTCCAATGTAAAAAACGTGCCGTGGCTCAAAAAAGGTTGAAAAACACTGCTGTAGTTAAACCATTTAAAATTCTGAAATGTTTGATTCTTCTGTTAGATTATCTGATCATTTTTCAGTCTTAAAGTTCCTAGATGCACACAAACTGAGCGCTGTGAAGTGAATCATGATTTTAAAACAAAAATTGTATTTAAATGTTGGTCTCTTCCATCCATATGGAGTGTTTCAGGTTGCGTCATTTGCAAAGACAATGTGGATGCAATAATCGTGTTAATATGAAAAAACTTGACATGTGCAACACTGAATACAATGTGATATTATGAAACAGTCAAAATAGAGCTCATGTGAAAATGGCTGTGTAAATGTGCTTGCAATTTAAATAAAAGATCTAGATCAGGGGTCTCCAACGTTTTCCTCTGTTGAGCTACCTTTACAAAACAAAAATACCAGAGAGCTCCTCATTTTAGCAGTCGCAAGAAATTTAGTAAATAAAAGAGCCACAGCCTTGGATAGTATACAGTTTGATGCTTATAAAACATAAGCCATTACTGCACAAAGTTAGGCATCAAATTGTTACATTTACAATGGTAATACCCATTTAATTAACCAAAATTTAGTTATTCAGCACAATACATGTAATTAATAAATCCCTTGGTGAGCTACTCGGAAGGAGTTGGAGAGCTACTGACAGCTCCAGAGCTCCCCTGATCTAGATCTTTGTTTGTGCTGCCTCCAAGTGGCTCAAAAAAATATGGCAATCATAATATTTTGATTTATATGATGCGATCAAAGATGCACAGTTTTGAGGGGGGAAATCTATGCGTATTTTCAAATCTGAATTCAATTCACAGTGCACATTTTAAACATCCAGGAGCAGTGCAATTTGATAAATAGAAGAATACTGTGCATGTTGGACGTGTAAACTTCTGAGTTTGCTGGTTTTATTCTTCAGGCAGTTTGCAGAGGGCATCGTATTGCCAAAAAAAATTGTGACCTTTGTGATTTGTGCAATCAAATCTAAATTCAGTTTAGATTTGATTGCATTTAAGATCTGTTTGAGAAATCAGTTTAAGTGCTTCCTCTGATTAAATAGGTGTTTGCCTTGTAATACCAATCGTTTCAACATTTCATCTTTTTTTTTTTTTTTTTGCCATCAGGTTTAAAGCTCCTCTCTCCTGCAGCACTATGGAGGCCCTGTTCCAGTTCCTGTTCTCTCCTCTCCCAACTCCCGCCATCATCTCTCTCTTCGCTGTGGCGGCTGCAACGCTGTTTTACCTCAATTCCAGACCCAGCCCACTACGCCCCCCGGTGGACCTCAAGTGTCAAACTATAGGTGTCAAGGTAAGAATGAAATTTACATATGAAGAAACTCTAAACACTTTAAAAGGAAAGGTTATCTTGCCCACGTAGGTCACCAGAGTTATTGCTTAAACCTTCTACTTGATTCTGATACCAAGGAAAATAACGGTTGCTCAATACAAATGTTAATACTACAATGATAATAAAACTTTTTTCTTTTTCTTTTTTTTAAACGGGAGAATGTAATTTTCAACGCTAATAGTTTCTTGAATAGAATTGGCTCGATGTTCTGATATTGGTTTCAGCTTCTTGCATTCAACTTTTTGAGGACTTTTCCTATTCAAGATATAATTTGTTTAAATTGTTTATCACTATGGCAACAGTTCCCACTTTTCCATAATTGTGAAACTCAAGGATGGATCAAGACGATGCTAAAATTTCAGAAAAGGTCGAATTTGTCAATATTTTTTCACCGTTGATTCACCAAATACAAATTAGTCTGCACTTTCAGTATTAGTTTTATTAGTATCTGGGCATTAATTTGTAAACCTTTAGGACTGTACATTTGAGTATTTTAAGCTCCGCCCACACTTTTTCCTGCTCTGGTGATGGACAAGGTGTACTATTCAAACTTTAACAAGAATTTCCATATGTTGTAATGTTTGCAGATGAGATTGTATATAAAGAACGAAACAAAAAGACAGGCCCTGGAGCCGAGGAGAAGAACTATAACATGTGGAGGTTTTCTGTGCATGTGTTGAGAATTGTTCAGTCTTATGCCAGATATCTTGATCGCATAATGAAAGAGGTCAGATTGAGATAATGAAAATCTGAGTGGAAGTAGGATTATATTAGAGCTGCTTTGGACACCCAGAAGACAAAACCAAGGGAATCTATAAAGAAAAAAGAGCAGTCTGTGAGAGTGACGGAGGCAAGTCAATTTCACTAGATATTAAAGATGCACTTTAACTTTTCTGGAGGAGGGTCAGTCACCTGCTGTTTTTGCTTTGCGTGGGAAGTTCTGCAACATGGCATTAAACTTGTCCGGCTCCATTGAGACAAACAAGTGATTACAGGTCAGATCTGTGAAGCTCACAGTAAGAATGTAAGTTTTTCAAGGTGTATATAACCCTTTAAATGAATAGATGTAAGATGATAATCCAGAAACATTCCAGGCAAAACAGTAATGGAAACAAAATACAGCTGACTCCCACCAGAAAAGCTTCATTGTGCACCTTTTTAAATGGAGGATTTGGGGTCCTAAATGGCTCTTCAGGACTTTTAAGAAAACATAATGATTTTAATTGTTGACAAATAAGCACATTTGCATATTAAACAAAAACAAGACAAAAAACAAAGACAAATTTACCATATACAACACAGACAGGAAACTAGTACAAAACCAACTTTCACACGCTCACAACACATTTGAGGCTTATTGATATGCCTCAATATTTATTTAAAGGCAAAGCAGTTAAGTTTTCATTTATGTACAACCTTCCAGTTAGTGAACTAACTTACAGTGCTTCAAAGATGATCCTTCACACATACTTTTTTTTTTTTTTTTACTTCCATTTGATTTTATTGCATATTCTTTGACTGCTCCAAAAATGTGATTCTCTCCCTGTTTTTAGGATGGAGCCCGTAAGAGCGCCCTGTTGGAGGATAACAACAACCTGCTGTCATTTTTCTACGAGGACGCAAAGACCATCTATGAGGTTTTTCAAAGGGGCTTGAGAGTTTCTGGTGAGTGATTTGTGCACTGATGGATTTCATATCATCAGTTTGTTCTGTCCAGAAAAGCGATACAAGGTCCCTACTTGTCTTTAATTCATAGCTGATTGGTGTACTTTTAGTTTAAAGGTGCATTTTGTAACTTTTCTGGTGGAGAGAAAGTTCCACAGTATGGCATTAACTTGTCTATATCCATGGAAACAAGCAGATGTTGCTACCAGGCAAAGTTACAGGGTAGATCTTTGTAGAGGCAGCCTCACTCGCAGTAAGTTTGTAATGTTTTTCAATGCATTTTTGAGCATATACACACCTGTAATAGTTAAGTCTAATGCCACACTGTGGAACATTCATGGCAACGCAATAACATCTGTGTTCAGGCACATGGTGGACACTACCAGAAAAGTTTGAAATATTGTATGTAGACAAACAACCATTAAAACAAATGTACTGATATCTGCTTGTTTCAGGCAACGGTCCATGTTTGGGCTACAGAAAACCTGGACGACCCTATCAGTGGTTGAAGTATAAGCAGGTATAACTCGTAACTGAAAAGTGCTCAAAAGTGTTTTCTTGTGCTAAAAATAATCTTATAAAGTATTTTTTGTTGTTAGGTGTCCGAGAGGGCAGAGCACTTGGGGTCTGGGCTCCTTCACAAAGGCCTGAAACCCGGGTCAAGCACCTTCATCGGGATCTTTGCCCAAAACCGACCAGAGGTACGAAATAGGAGCTAAGAACTCTTAGATCGTAGCTTCACAATGCAGGTAAATACTAGTTCTTGTTAAAACCATAAAACTAGTCAAACTAAACAGAGGCAAAAATACCAGTAAATAAAAACATGAACATAAAAATAAAACTGAGGACCATGTGTTGTTAAAAAAAACTAAATAAAACTGGGTCTTAAGATGAGACTTAAACACTACACTGTGGGGGATTTTGGGAGTAAATTTGTCAACATTTGTTAAAAAAAAAAAAAAAAAAAAAATTTAATTAAATTAAAATATTGATTGCCTCTTGGACAGGATTCTTAAAATTAGATCAACAAAGGCAATTTTCTGGTTAAATAAATAAAAAATACTTGACATCAGTTTTGTCCTCTGCCGTCTTTGTGCAGTGGATCATTGGGGAGCTGGCCTGCTACACATACTCTATGGTGGCTGTTCCTCTGTACGACACACTGGGACCTGAAGCTCTCGTCTTCATCATCGACAGAGGTATTAACACTCGTGTTTATTCACACCAATAAACACAGCCCCCCTCCCTCAGGCTGTGGGGGGATTACTGTTCAAATACTCCAGTTTAATTTGTGATTAGCTTTAGGTTCATATGAATACAAATCCTGTTGGTTAGACTCATTTTGTTTGATTATAATTTTTTTGGGGGGAGTGAAGAAATGTGTGATTTTGAGCAGCATTTAGTCCTGTTCATCAGATGGTTGCTTAATGAGCTCAAAAATAACAAATCTGTTAAATATCAGTTCTCAGACTTAAACCTAGATTTTATTGATCCACAATGGAAATATTTTATAGCAAAGACTGCTGCCACCACTGTAAAAACGGCTAGAAATCAATTGTAATAAGGCTGCAGTTAAAACAATATTTATATTATTCTATATATTCAAAACAATTTTAGTTGTGAACTGTTAGGTGATAATGGATAAATGTTTAATCTGTTTTGAGAAGTTTGTGAACAGTAATTGGTATGTTGATTTATTTTCGATATATTTTAATTTTTTTCTTGCATTCTTCTTGCATCTTTTAGATTCTCACCCCTCAAATTGCTGATTTATTTTTTCTTTCAGCTGAGATTTCTTTGGTTCTTTGTGACAATCAAACCAAAGCCCAAACACTGCTGCAGAACGTGGAGAATGGCCAGACCACTGTGCTTAAAACCATCGTCATCATGGACACTTTTGAGCCTGAGCTGCTGGAGCGCGGGAAGAAGAGCGGCGTGGAGGTCCTGTCACTGGAGGAAGTGGAGGTAAAGAGGAACTCTTGTCTTTTTCAGTTTTATTACATCAGTAAAAAAGTTTGACTGGTTTGTTTTAGACTCTGGGAAAAGACAACCTTCAAAAGCCTATGGTGAGTTTATTTCTGTGTAAGATATTATATTAAGACAATTATTTAGTTGTCAAAACAAATCAAAGTAAAATATATGCAAGATTTGATTTTAACTTTAATTATTGTAGTATTGACACAGAACTGGCATCACAATACAAATATTCAGTGTACCAATCAGCAAACCTTCACCTTAAATATTAAAAATTCTTTATAAAAAATATTTTGGAGAATAATAAAAAAAAAACTTGGATGTAATAAATATTGTTCTGTTTACTTGTATTACCTTACTCTATGACTGTAAAAGGTTTAGAGCAGTGCTAAAATGCATTATGATAAAATAAAACATTAATCTCCATATAAATATTGCTTCAACAGCCACCAAAACCAGAGGATCTCAGTATTGTGTGTTTTACCAGTGGCACAACAGGTATTTAAATATTAATTTAAAAAAAAATTTAATATCTTGACATGATGCAAATATAAAAAGCTGGCTTATTTATGATCTTTTATAGGAAATCCCAAAGGAGCTATGTTGACCCATGAGAATGTCGTCTCTGACGCAGCTGGAGCTCTTAAGACATTTGAGGTATTATTATGCTAACTACTATAATATTTACTGACAGATGTGTAGATATAGTATTTCTCTACAGTTAGTCCACAAAATGAAGTTAGTGTCTCTATAAATGATTAATATTGTCTAAATGTATTTTTGTTTTCCAGTCCTCTGTGACTCTGACCTCAAATGACGTCACCATCTCTTTCCTGCCTTTAGCTCACATGTTTGAGCGTGTTGTACAGGTAAGGGCCACTAAAATGGAAATATTACTTTGTATCTGCACTGAAACTTATTCCTTAGTTCAACACTTGATTGATATAGATTTAAACTGTAAATTTTGAATCTGATAGGCTCTGTTCACACTTATGTCACAAATCAGGAAGACGTTTGGAAAGATGCGATTACAACTTCTCAGGCCCAGTTTTCTTCATTGTATTGCCATTGTTGTTGTATTGTTTCTTCATGTCATTGTAGCGTTCTGTTATGTTCGACTAATCAACAGTTACAACAATACCTCAGCTTTCATAATTTCCCCACTGACACACAACTCCGAGCGCCCCAGGTACATGTGATTAAAAGAGATGAGGCTCCAAATTCAAGTTGATTCCAAACTGCACACACGTATGCAGGCTTCATTTTACCGCTGATCACATTTACTTCAGTGGGTTTTATCGCTGTTGGTTTTAATAGATCCATGTTAGGTGAGCCCAGTGTCGGTAAATACACTGAAGTTTCATCGCATTTTCCCAATGTCTTCCTGGTTTGTGACGTAAGCGTGAATAGAGCTTATTAGTACTCACTTTGGTAGTATAGTATGTTATTAGTTTCCATCAGTCTAGTGGCAGTTTGCTCTAGTTCTGTAAAGGAATCCATTTCAGGAATGCATGGATTCAGCTTTTTCAGTTCAGATTCTGATGATTTAAGGATCTGCCGGAACCCGATATTAGCAGATTTCCTTAAAACAAAAATGAGACAGAAGTGATACAAATGTGTTTTGTAGCTGTTATTTATCTTGAGAAACTACAGAACAGCTTTGTATAAATAAAAGTTCAAACATTATGAGGCTTTCTGGACCAACTCTGAGCAGTACATTTTTTTTTTTTTTACATCAGTTTATGTTCAACCAGAACAGATATTTGGAGGCTGATATCCGATTCAGCGAATTTTCTGTAGATATTAATAATCAAACATCAAAATATAATATATCAATATTATATCCATGAAAACAGTGTGCAAAATGCTGTCTAAAATGCAAGCTTGTTCAGTTATGGAATTAGTTACATCTGTAAAATCTTACTGTTAAACTGCACGTGAGTGAAATGAGCAGTCTAATCTGTCATATGCACTTTCTGTATTACCCTGTTTTGTGTCATTCCATGCCCAGGTGGTGGCGTATGGAGTTGGCGCGAGGGTGGGATTTTTCCAGGGAGATATCAGACTTTTACCAGATGACATGAAAGCGCTGCAGCCCACACTGTTCCCCGTGGTGCCCCGCCTCCTCAACAGGGTCTATGACAAAGTATGTGGAGCAGTACTTCATTACAACTTATAAAGTAAAATCTTAGATACAGGTGTAGGTCAAATAACAGAGGTGGGCCCAAGTCTTTGTTTTGCAAGTCTCAAGTAAGTTTTAAGTCTTTGAGCTCAAGTCCGAGTCAAGTCAAAGTTGAGTCTCGAGTTATTGGTCCATAAGTCCAAGTCAAGTCCAAGTCGTCTGCTTTGAGCTTCAAGTCATTTCAAGTCTTTAAACCAAAATACCAATATAGCTCAGATTTTTGCAATTTGAATGAATTTTAAACTAAATTGTACTTAAAAAATCATAGTATATTTGTAGTGTATATAATACGCTTATATATCGCAAGTCATTGACCTTCAAGTTGAGTCCAAAGTCTTACTCCATTTTATCAAGTCAAGTCTCATGTCCTAAAAATAGTGACTCAAAACTGACTCGAGTCCAAGTCAGGACTTGCAATTCCCCACCTCTGTCAAATAATATTCTGGAAATATTTGATTTGACCAAACATGATATGCTTATAGATTATAGATGGTACTATAACGTTCTACTCTTAAAATTCACCAGATTTTATAAAGTTAAAAATCATAATTAAAAGTCTGCATTTTATTACATATTTGACTGATTTCTGTCTCTACTTTAGGTTCAGAGTGGAGCCAAGACTCCTTTTAAGAAGTGGCTGTTGAATTTTGCAGTGAAGAGAAAGTACGCCGAAGTCAAGGATGGCATCATCAGGAAAAACAGCATTTGGGACAAGCTTATTTTTAACAAAGTTCAGGTAAATGGTTCATGTAATATAAATAAGTCATAGCTATTGTAACACAGCTTTATTTAGTGTTTTTAATGCAATGTTTTTATTGTGTAGGAGTCTTTTGGTGGGCGTGTGCGTATAATGGTAACAGGAGCTGCTCCAATCTCACCCACAGTCCTCAACTTCCTCAGAGCTGCTCTCGGATGCCAGGTAACCAAATGAGCTGTGCACTTTCAATTCATTATAGTGTCAAATTTTTGTTTGTGCTGCCATCTCTACTACCATAAATCAAACCTGTGTGCAAATATGTGTGCACTAAATGGGGATAAAGAAGGGTTAAACATTTCATTGCCAGGTTTATCTTATAAAAAATTAAAATGGAGAGGGGAAGGATGAGGTCTTTAATCAAAAATATAAAATCACAATTGTTAATGAACTCTACCACAATCAAATACATCTTCATGAACAGTTTTGATGCTCGACCCATTGTAGACTGTTGGATGTGTTTTTAAAAACTTGGGGCTATCAAGAATGAAAGATGAGTCTATAAATCTCGTAATTATCCAGAGCTGTGAATGTCCATATGAGGGAAACCGGTGATGGCATTTGCATTATGTCAGAATGGAATGTTTTGGTGATTAAAATTCACAAACAGGAACTTGCTTTGGTGTTAAAACAATGAAGAATAATATGAAGTAATTTAAAAGTGACATTGATTATAATCGTGCAGATCTTTGAGGGTTACGGTCAAACAGAGTGCGCCGCAGCCTGCACCTTCACCATGCCCGGGGATGTCACCTCTGGTAAGTCGCTCAAATATACCTTGCATATTAATCTATTAGCTAGTGTGATCATTTCATAAAACTTAGTAAGCAAATCATGTTTTCTTGCAGGACATGTGGGGGCGGCTCTACCTTGCAACTTTGTGAAGCTTGTGGATGTTGAAGAAATGAATTATTTTGCCTCCAACGATGAAGGAGAAGTAAGTAAACAATAAATGATTTCAGTCTATCTTATGTCCATCCATCCATCCATTTTCGTCCACTTATCCGGGGCCAGGTTGCGAGGGCAGCAGCCTAAGCAGGGACTCCCAGACTTCCCTCACCCCAGACACGTCTTCCAGCTCCTCCGGGGGAACCCCGAGGTGTTCCCAGGCCAGCCGACATAGTCCCTCCAGCGTGTCCTGGGTCTTCCCCGGGGCCTCCTCCCGGTAGGACATGCCCGGAACACCTCTCGACGGAGACGCCCAGGAGACATCCGGAACAGATGCCCGAGCCACCTCAACTGGCTCCTCTCGACATGGAGGAGCAGCGGCTCTACTCCAAGCTCCTCACCCTATCTCTAAGGGAGCGCCCAGCCACCCTGCGGAGGAAACTCATTTTGAGCGCTTGTATCCGCGATCTTGTCCTTTAGTCACTACCCAGAGCTCATGACCATCTTATGTCATTGCTACTGAAATTTTTACTCTGAGCATAAAACACAATTGACCGAACATGTATAACACAGATATTTATGAAAATGACTACAATATGACTCTTTTCTTGCACACACTTTAGATTAAAATATATATATTGCCGAAATACTCGTTACTAGTTCTGTACCTCCATTACAACAAAATAGAAGAGCTAGATTTAAATTTCTGTTCAACTGCTGCTTGGATGACTATTAACACACTTCCATCTGTTTTTATTGTGTTGTAGGTTTGCATCAAAGGCAGGAATGTGTTTAAGGGATACTTGAAGGACCCAGAGAAGACTGCAGAGGCTTTGGATGAAGACGGGTGGCTTCACACTGGAGACATTGGGAAATGGCTGCCGGTAAGAAGGAACTAAAGCTGGTTTACACTTGTCCTGGTTTGGTCCCCTGTGTTTCCTCATGTAGATGTTGTGGAGGTCTGGTCTTGGGTCTGGTCAAGGTCGTAATCGCTTTTTCTTGGTCTAGAGTGGAGTTTTGAAAATTATTGACCGCAAAAAGAACATCTTCAAGCTAGCTCAAGGAGAGTACATTGCACCGGAGAAAATAGAAAACGTGTATATACGCAGTGGACCAGTCGCCCAAGTGTTTGTGCATGGAGACAGTCTGCAGGTAACAGGACACACCCCAATATCACATGCACAGTACACCCATTTTTTTTTTAAAGTCCTATTACACTAAATTGACTCCTGTGAGCTTCAGGTCATGTTATAATGTTGTCCTAAAAACATACCTGGAATTGTTTTGCTTCATTCACACATGTTTGAGTAACCCTTTATTTTTAGTCAGTTTATATCTCCAAAGCTCAAAATGCTCTGTTCCATCTTGTGATGTCATGAAGCAGTAGTTTTCAAGTTGATGGCAACCTGCTGCTACATTTTGTTCAGTAGACAATGACCATTCCAGGGCTGGAATTAAAACATTTAAATGATTCTAAAGAGTTTGAAAGCACAGTGGAGCACTTTCTGTTACTACACATCACAAGGTGGAACGTTTACAATTTAAGAGAACTCTAAAGTCTGTATAAATGGCTTTTGTGAGTTAAAGATGTGTGAATTAAACAAAACACAACTCCATGTGTGTTTGAGGATTAAAAGCACCCATATGCTATTTTGATATCCATGTATGCTCATCACAATGTTTTTTTTTTTTTTTCTTTTTAGTCTTGCCTGATTCGCCATAGTGGTCCCAGATCCTGAGATTCTCCCAAGTTTTGCCAAAAATCTGGGGATTGAAGGCAAAATGGAGGATCTGTGCAAAAATAAGGTAACTCACAAGCACTAATACACATACCACAGAGAATTTGTAAATATCAATTTGTGTTTTCTCCCTTTTGTAGGAAATCAAGAAGGCCATTCTTTCAGATATGACTAAACTGGGAAAAGAAGCAGGCCTCAAGTCATTTGAACAGGTTTGTCAAAGTGTATTAAACTTCTATTATCACAGTATTAATTTTAGACAGCGGTACTTTAGCTTTATTTATTTTACTAGTAAGCATAACTTTGCTTAATGTCTTGTGTATCTTGCATCTTTGGTATCTGACCTGTTGCTCAATTACAAAACAAAAATTGATAAATAACCTTGTCTTGAATCCTGTAGCTTCTTAAATCTCTTGTATTTTTGGTTTTTGACATGTTGCTCCATTACTAAACTAAAACTAAATTAAACACTTAGTGGAAGTTTCAGAGTTGGCTTTACTGTCTTATTTAGTAGCATTGCATAACTTTGCCCTGAATCCTGTAGCTTCTTATCACTTGTATCTTTGCTATTTGACAGTTTGCTCAGTTAACAAACTAAAACACAAATAAAATAAACAAAAAACAAACACTTGGCAATAAGACAGTGAAAGTTTTAAATTTGGCTTTACTTCTTGTCATAACATTTCATAACTTTGCCCTGAATCCTGTAGCTTCTTGAATTTCTTACATCTTTGGCATCTCAAACAAAAATAAATTAAACTTTAAAAAAAACAAAAAAGCTTGGCAAAGAAAGTTAAATTTGAAACATTAACTAACTGAACTATTTTTACTAACAATGCATAACTTTGCCCTGAATCCAGTATCATCTTATCTGTTGTATCTTTGGTATCTGCAGGTGAAAGACTTGCACCTTCACCCGGAGATGTTCACAATTGAGAACGGACTCTTGACCCCGACGCTGAAGGCCAAACGGGCCGAGCTTAAAGCACTGTTTCAGACACAGATCAACCAGCTGTATTCCTCTATGCAGTAACCACTCCCCTGTATGTCATTTCGTAATAAAATATGGATTACAAAGATCAAAGTATTGTCTTTATTTTACAACATTGTACAATTTTTCAGCCTCAAATCTATACTGGGTTATGTTATTACACCTAAACAGAAATCCTTGCATTTATGGGTTTTGGACTGATGAAGTAGGACTCAATAAAAAATGTATCCTAGCTTTTGAATAGGGAAAAAGGTCCTAAAAATGTTGCCTATAGCAGGAAGCTGAAATCCATAAATGCAAATACAAGGAAATTTTGGATTCGGTGGTAGATGTTGCTGCTTGAGTACAGATTTTGGGTGCTACTATAATCTCAGACCCAGGATCAAATGGCCAACAGTATAACCATTTTCAACCACACATTTTCATGAGGTCTGCAGAGTATAATTGTTTTTGCATAAGGCAGGTTTTATACTATCAGTCTGTGGTGTGTTGTGAAGGTTTTTCCCGCGCTAACACTGCCCCCTTGCGGCCGTGTGTTTAGTTTCACTTTAGTCTTCCCGGGTTGCAGCGGCACTCTGCACTCCACCTGGAGTTTCCCAGACGCTCAGCGCACCGATCCTCGCATTTCCTGGATTTTTATTACCCTGAAAATCTCAAAATAACCAAACCTTTGGACCAATGAACTAATGCCTCTGCCGTGCGTGACTCTGAACGTCGGATCTCCTCTGTGCGTAAAGTTTGGTCCCCCGCTTCAAAAGTTTTTACCTGTGAACCGGAGCAGCTGCTCTCAACATGGCTTCTTCCGCCACAGGTGACCGCGAGGAGCAGGTAAGCGGACTTTAGGCTCTGTTATCTTTATGCTAAACTACACGACGGCGATAGAAGCGACGGTGTGTCATATGAGAAGTCTTTACCATTCAGCCCCCGGGCTTCATGCACAGTTTTGACAGATTGAATTCCTGCTTTCTTGGAACGAGAAAGTAACGAGACTTGATTGTCTTACTATCGGTAACTTAATACACATATTAACTGGTGCACAATCTTTGCCTTGTAAATGTTCTGTATGAACAGCAAGGAAATGAATAGGCCCACATGTGTAATATAGATGCTCATAAATGAGTGTGTGTGTTCTAAAGTCACATCTGTCCTGAGATTGTAAAGGTGTATACTTAATTTTTATAGACCCCCATCCCATATGTTGCAGCTAATTTCAGAAGTTTTTCCTACTGTAATGCAAATTTCAGTTTTAATTTGTGAACTTAGATGTAACCATAATTGTCTAATGTGTGGAAGGTCAGGGTTACTTTGCTCTCTAAACGTGTGGTCTGTAATTATAACCATGATCATAATCACAAACCAAAACCATAATCTGGATGGTTTATATGATCACTTTGTCAGAATCACCTTGTTCCAAAGCTTCACATAACTTTTGCACTGTAGACTATATGTCAATATGTCAAGTCGAGTATATATAAAATATCCCAATATCTTCAGTTTACCTCAAGGAAACTGTTCAACTTGTTCACACACCCCAATCACAGTCTTCTACAGATTGTAATTTCTTTATAAAAACATGAAACGCACATCACAAAGTATGGTGATGTCTTTCTCCTTTTGGGTCACATTTGATCCTGTTGCCCCCCGGCCTGCGTCTCCTCCCATTTGCCTTTTAATGTTTGACTCGGTATTGTCATCGGAAATGGTTTGTGTAGTCAGTGGTGGTAATAAATATGTGGAGTGGAGGTTTAGTGTAGTAAAGGCAAATATTGAAACTGCACCTGTGTGTAGATAGTGGTCAAAGAACAATGATATCATTACATTTTGGTTTTGGATATGAGAGCTGTTAATAATGCGTATAGCAGCTGGTCGACTTAATGCTGTATGGACCATTAAATGCACTAATAATGATTCATTGTGTAGGGGCACTATAACTTTAATGGAAGAAACTACACCATACAACATCTGATAATCTTAGTGATCATATTTTGCAAAGAAAGTTCTACAATATGGCATTAAACTTTATGTTGCATCATTTTATTGCTCAAAAACAGACTTTCTTAATGTGAGAGGTGTTACTTTAGTTTGCAGCTTGAGCCTGGTTCATCACCTGCTCGTCTCCATGGAGATCGATACAGTAATGCCATAAAAGGGACTATTCCAGGGATGCCACAATATGGACAAAAATAGTCTACTACCATATTAATAAGCAGTAATAAGAAGTGTATTAATAGGAAAGTGTTTGTAAATGTCTAACTAATCGCAGAATAAGCTTATGGGGAATTAAACATTAGTAAGGGCTGATTAAATACTAATTAATAACAAATTAACCATTTACAACTATGCTAATTAGTGTGTAGTTAGATGTTAATAAGTGCACCCTAAAATAAAGTGTTACCATATTTTTAGTGTTCACGATTAGTTTGACATTTTTCACAATTATTATCACATGACCAAACTAATACATAAGCATTTCTTTGTATTTGTATAAATCCACTGTGTACTGTAATCTGCATCTAACTATAGAACATTTTCCTGTCTGATAATCAGGAGGTGGACTGTTAGCATGCTAATTGTTAACAACAAATCTCCAGTCTGGCCTCTGAAAGTTATAAACCACTTATAAACTCAATATGGTGAAGAATTAATAATTTAAAATGGTGAAATCTGGTACAGGTTAATAGAACATAAACAGCTACATAAAACACATTTAAGTTTATTTAGGCTGTCACGATGATCGATTAACCAAACAATCCCATTTTCAATAACCAAAAATGTTCAGCCTATGGGATCAACTTCACAACTCTTGAAACATATATGCTGATTAATTACAGTTGTATATTTCATGAGGATATTGGATAATAATTGGTAATAAATAAATGAGCAATAAAACTACACATACTTTGTCAACATCTCCTTTAGGCCGCAGTGGTTGAGATACTGTACATTGATTTAACACTGAGTAGACACTGCAAAGGTCAGCTGTTCTGTATAAATTAATTCCGCACGAGTTTCCAATTCTTGTAGCGAGAAAAGTTGAGCTTAGTCAGCGATGTGCATACGCCTCTGTTTGTGTGCAGAGGGGAGGGGGCTATTGCTTCACCAGCACTGGCTTTGGGATGAGAGGGGAAAGGGGGGAGAGAGGGAGGAGAGGGAGGAGAGAGGGAGAGGGGCAAACATGACCTCAGTCACGGTGAGGTAATGGTGTCTGTTACTCTGGGTTAAACAAACGAGACATGAAGGAGCATCTTTTGGTTTTAGGCAATAATGTAATAAGACAGGGCTGATTGAAGCTGTTGCTGGGGAAAAAATCTCTTATATTTCAAAGACAATTTTACACACAGTTTAAAACCTGCTTTCAGTAGTCATTTCCTGATCATAAACAAGATCAAAATGTGAACAATTTTAAAAAGTGCTGCTAAGATGCACATATACGATACTGGTATTGGATATCGGTGCCGATTTTGAACAGTTTTGATGGATGGGATATCGGTTCCAAGATATTGGTTCACTTGATATTCCATTTTGTCTATAAACTTGTGTAATAAGACGATTTGCTGGACAATGTTAATCATTTTCAAAGCTGTTCTGTATGCATCATATACTTAGATACTTACTTAAAATTATAAAACAGTTACAGAATACATTTCGATTTTTTTTTTTACCGTACACTGAGTGGTGCATCATCCCTGAGTGCTGCAAAAAGTGAAAAAAAAAGTGTAAATTGTAAAATAAAATGTTTTGTGGTTAATTTCACAGCCCATTCACATTTTTTTTGCTACACAACAGCGCATATCTGATGGATTGCCATGTTTGAATGTTGTCACTGAGATAAAAAGAAAGATTAATTTGTGTCAATAATTGCCAGATTACATTGTGGTGTTTTTCCTTTGTAGCTGTCATTTGCATGGTTGTACAGTGTCATAACTCAAAGATAAATGTAACATCTATTGAATTACAGGTAAAACATCAACTCATTAATAAAATCACCCATTCAGCACAGAAGTATCCATGTGACCCCATGACTTAACAAAAGCCCTGTTATTGTCTGCACATCTGGCCTGTGGCTGAATACGTACCAGTGTGTAAACCATGACGGAGGATGGCGATGGTTTGAGTGGGCTTCTCATTACAATGCATTTACACAGGGCTGGTTCACATACAGAGATGAGGACAGGCTGACACTGCAATCGCCTCCTTATCTCTCCTTTTATTTGCTTTATTTGTATCCGTGTCCTGGAGGGACAGAGGAACTGTGTCCCCATAAGGATAGTACTTTTGTGTAGTGTTGTCAGATGTCTGGATCATATGATGCATTTTCTGACCTGGAGTTGTGGTTTGTTTCATTCACACATGTGTAATTCACATACCATGCATATTTAGACTCTTCTCTCAAACAGAAAACACTCTGGTCCGTCATGTGATAATACAGTAAGTTTTCCACTGTGTTTTGAAACTCCGTACACCTTCATTAGAGTAATTTGGATAATTTCAGCTCTGGAATTTCCAATCTCTACTAAACAAAGGGTCAAATATATCAGTTAACTTGAGAACTACAACTTCATGACATCACAAGGTGGAACAGAGCATTTTGAGCTTTGGAGATGTATACAGACTAATAATAAAGGTTTACTCAAACATGTGCGAATGAAACAAAACACAACTCCAGATATGTTTTTGAGGAGATAACAGAATTATAATATGCCTTAAACCTCACACAAGTCAATTTTGCTGAATGTAGCACCTTTAAAGAGGAGATATTGTCATTGTGTACTCAGAAAAAATATGTTAATTTTGATGCATAGAGGTGAAAGTCTAAAGAAATTACACAGACTAATGCAAATTCTTGTTAACAAATTGGTTACTAAATAAAAAAAAGATAGATTAACTGCTGACCACTGACTTTCTGTGATACTTTGGAACCGTCAGCAAAGTGGTATTTTGGAAAATTGTTGCTTATTCTTATCTTTTTGCACAAGTTTGTAGCTTTGTACATATTTATAGTATAATTATAATTAAAAAAAAAACAATCAGAGTGCCTGTTTTTATAGGTATTATTGAGCTATGAAACTATAAACTTTAATAAATGT